TGAAATCCTATAACATTTTTTCACGACTACTTTTTGTAATAACATACTACATGTATAATAACCTCTAATGTTTAATATAATTAATTAATTAATTGTCACCACATGTATATATATTCATAAAATATAAGAATAAAAATATTTTTAGAGAAGATGAATTATTTTGTTGCAAACAGAAAATCATGTATTTTTCATGAAGATTATAAACATGAAATGGGATGATATTGTTTGATAAAATAGAATAAACACATCTTAAAACAATTTATTAATTATTAAAGTAAGTAATAATTAGCGTGAGAATATAAGGTATAATATTAATAAAAAAAATATAAATAAAGAAATGTCATAATAATTAAGATGATGCATCGATACAAAGCATTTGTAATAGGTTTTGTTTTTAACTACATATTACAATCTATGATAAAAGGAAATAAATAAGACATGACTACTATATTTGTATTGAATTAACAAGTTCGTCTCTTATATATGCTATCACAAACCTGAGCCATGTAAGATGAAGATTGAATTGATGAAAGTATACGTGAAAATCCAACCCCATCATCATCTTCTTCTGCATAAGTACCTTCATCTTCCAACTGAACGAATCCAGGATCAGTAATACATGTCGTTCTAATAAAATTATGTATAGCCATCGTTGCATAAACGATTTTAACTTGTGTTTCATAATCATATGATGACATGTTTCGTAAGATTGTGAACTTTTTTTTCCAAACTTCGAAAGTTCTTTCAACTGTACTCCTTAAACTTGAATGGAAATAATTAAAGACCTCATTGTCATTTTCAAACCCAGATGTCCTTCGAAAATCAGGCAGATGGTAACTCTCCCGTCTGTATGAGCCAAGACATTCATTTGGTATTGGGTATCCAGCATCCACCAAATAATATTTTTCTATATAAAAAATGAAATTATTATAAATTATGTTTCTCTTGTTAAGCTAAATATAAATAAAATGTAGGAAATAAAAAAATACTTTCAGGTGGATAGGGAAAGTTCATTGAAGGAATTGTGAGGGCATGATCAAATATTCGAGCATCATGTGCGCTACCTTCCCATCCGGCCAAGATAAAAGTAAAACACATGTCCCAATCACAAACCGCCATGACATTTTGTGACACTGTTCCTTTTCTAGAAATAAATTTAGTTTGATCTGTTGCACTGACAACGCAGGAAACATGTGTGCCATCAATTGCTTCAATAGCATGTTTAAAAAAAGGTCAGTATTTACCAAACCGAATTTTTGTATGAACATGCCAGAATGTTGGATCTTTTGGTTTGATATTAGACATGGCAAGTCTACAACATGCCATTAGGACATTATGAAAATGTCTGCTAATTGTCTCCCCTGAATGTTGAAATATTTCTTGTTGCATTCTGCTACTAAGTGCATGGCCAACGGTATGTAAAAACATTGCAACTGATTCATGTATCCCTATATTTTTAGTTTCTTTTAGACCATATTGTTGCAATTATTCCACCAGACTTAAGAACACACCCCGTTCCATCCTAAACATGTTATAACAACAACTGGGGTTGCCATCTAAAACATCCCTTACCCATAAGCTGCTTGTATAAGCACTTGTATGCTGAGACTCTTTACACAAGTTCAAAGTAGCGTAAGCACCGACCAATGCTACAACTTTGTTAACCCTTTTTTTTCGTCCCTTAGCATGCTCTTCCACACGTTTAATTTCAGCATCCATATTCGTTTTATCCTGTGCACATACACATAAAGTTTAGAATTCTTACGTAGAAATTACGAAACATTTATAAAAGTTACAAAGTTGTCTGATTCATATAACAACCCACTATCATATAAAACGATACACATATGGAACTGTCTAATATAATAAACAAGTCATAGATCCCTAATGTAATACTCCAAAATAGGCAGAAGTTGTTCCTTTTGATCCTTCAGAACTACATACATTTCCCGTGCCTTCGGTCGTTCCATAAGGAGTTGTGTGCATCGTCTAAAGAAATCAGGATCATTGAAAACTTCAGGAACTGTTTTGAGGTGAGACAGGACTCCCCTAATTGAAATCTCATAAGCACGCGCTTCTTCTTCCAACCTTTTAACTTCTTCTTCCAACCTTCTAGTTTCTACTTGTGAAATAACCTCATTTTCACACTCAGTCTCAGAAATATTTGTTTCAGCAATCTTGTTAAGTGCATCTGCTATTTTCATAGGGGGAGATGTGCGTTTCTTCATGACTTCACTCTTCCTTCTGACCCCCAGTGAGCTACTAGTCGACTCCCACCTCTGCTTGTACCCCCACCACTGTTATCCTGCCTCAATTCAGTGTTGCCCCCACTACCTCCACTATTCTCATTGAAGTTCACTGAGTTAAATTCCTCATTTATACCAGTTGATGCACCTAAAATTTCATCACTATCTCCGGACCCTTCTTCCAAATCTTCATTCAGTGTTCCTTCACTTGGAAGTGTCATGGAAGAAGGTGCCCATGCTTGTGGTCCAGTTGCAGTCACACTCCCAAACAGTTGAGTTAATTGATCCCTAAATTGAAGTCCTCTTTCTTTGAATTTTTCGTAGTTTGGAACTTCCTACACATTAGACACCAATAATATCATAAAATATTCAAAAAACAATGAATATACACAAAACATTAACAGGAAGAGAAAATGTAAGATCAAAAGGTTCAATAATTACCCTTATTTTCTTCTCCCACCAATCATCAGTTGCACTAACAGTATTCCTTTCAGTATCCCATCCCAATCCTGTCTCGTGAAGCAGCCTATCCTATGTCTGCCACTCCTTTCGTAGGGAATCATATTTATTCTTAAATTGAGATTTTTCATACACTCTCTCAGTTTTGGCAGTAAACTTATCACCAAGAATATCCCAAACTTTCTTTGTTAAGCTAGTACCTTTTCTTTCCCCCTGTTGCATAAGTTCAATGCACAGGTCAAGAAACACTTTAGTGGTTCTTAGATCCCTGGAAGCTTTCACCGTATCCTTACCTATTATGCTATAGCATAATTACAGCTCTTCGGTCATCACAAGTTAATCAACCCAAAATCATATGAAATAACAAAAATCATATTGTCTACTACAATAGGTGAAAAAATTGACCACATTTTAAATCTCAATTCCTTCCTACCAAACCAACCGCTACAAAAATTAACAAACAAAAGAAAATTCTAATTTTAAATGGCCAAAAAAAAATACACCCCTCCTATTTGAAACTTCATTATCTGTTTTTGCTTGAAAATACTAACTTTTAAAACGTCAAAACTAACTAAATAATTATATATACTTTTTCCTTTTCTTAACTATTGTACAAAGACGATTGGAAGACAAAATAATAACAAAAATCATATTTGAACCATCATGCACCATAAATCATATTGTACTTAACTTTTGAAATAACTGTGTATTACGAATATTTTTGAAAAAAATTCGTTCATGTGTGTAATTAATACAAATGTTCATGATGAACGCAATAATATTATATAGAGTTATCGGATTTGTCAACTGAAAATATAAAAGACTAGCAATATAAACCTTTGACCAAAGTACAAATCACTTCTTTCAATATATACATGGATTTGAGTTGTGATTCTATTTGTCCTTACTTTCAAAAGTTGGCCATAAATTTATCAAAGTCCTTAAGACAACAAAACAGGACAACACATTCCAAATCAAATCGACTCTTAACAAATAATATTAATTAATTTAATTAATCACAAACCTAAAGTACTATCCAAAAAAAAATACAAAATCCTAATATATTGTTCGACTTCACAGGCTTCTTCTCAGGGGGAATCTGGACAGGAAAAAGGGATCCCGCGCCAAGCAACCAGAGCAAAAAGAATTTGCATTTTATATACCTAGTAGAATTCAATTTGCAGGCTTTCTTGTCTTCAAAACAATATCACCAGATATATCCCCTGCCTCCAGAACCACATTTCGTTTCATAAAATCAGACTACTATGAAACCAAAGCAAGCAATAATATCTCATTCCTTCAATCAACATGCCGGTCAATTTTCCAAAAAACTAGTTGAACAAATTCAAAAACGAAAGTGGGAGGAAGTTTGCAAAACAAATCAGATCTACAACCAGGAAACCGAGCTACAATTCGAAGAGCATAGTAGAACACTACAGCCAAATCATTCCAAAATCTTTCGGTTTACGACAGGGAAAATACTGAAGCCAAAACAAAATTTTTAATGTCACCAGAGAGAGCTTACTTGAGTGGAAAATCTGACCAACCAAGCTCTACACGATGAGCTGACTGGGCGAACTGAACAACCTCATATTGGAAACCGAGGATTGATGGATCGGACAACCCAACACGACAAATTTAGAGCCGAGGACAATCTTACCGGCGTACAAATTCAGAGCAACAACAACAAAAGAAGGGGGAAGAGGTGAGCTGATGAAGCTAAGAGACGAGCTAAGCGAAGAGCAACGGCAAAATTCAGAGTAGCGTCAACGAAGTCAAGAGCGAAGAGGCGAGCAGAACTAAGAGGCGAGCTGGGTGAAGAGAGGCGAGCAACAACGACGAAGTGAAGAGCAACGGCGAAATTCAGAGCAGCTACGAAAAGAGCGAAGCGGCGAGCAGAGAAAGAGGCGAGCTTCCTCAGTGAGTGAATGTGCAAGCAGAGCGAAGAGAGAACCCCAGTCCAAAAGTGTCGGCCAGCGCTGCAGAAGAAGGGTATTTTTGGGTCAATGCCATTGCCTTCAATTATTTCAACCAGAAGCGACAAATTCTTGCTTCTGATGAAACCATGGTTTCACCGGTGGAAACCATGGTTTCAACCTGGACCACGGTTTTATCAAAATGCCTGCTTGTTTGGATGATTTTATGTGCAAACCATAGTTTAACCTTCCAAACCATGGTTTGCTTTGTCATCCAAACAGAGCCATATATATCTGCAAAACTAAAAGATTGGACTGAGCCATCATTTGAACTCTAAATATTAATTAAGTTGGCAGAATAACAGTAACAAAAGATGACAAAACAGCAACCATCTATTTACCATCGATCTTCTGTTGAAACTGAAGACATATAGAGGTCGATGTACAAAATTCTTGAGGAAAGAATGAATCGATGATTCTTGTTATATATATATAGACTAATAAAGGCCTTAGCTATACATATATATGTCATACTAAAATCTCCCAACGCTCCCAACATTTTCTTCCACCAGCAAGCTAAGTTGTTTGTGCTTTCACATAGGGATGGTCTAGTAATGCTGCAGCAGAAGGCCGATCGGCCGGAGTTTTTTGGAAGCAGAGTTGAAGAAAATCTTTACCCTCTTGGCTCAACTCTTCTGGAATGGGTGGATGTTCCTCTTTAACGCAAACTTTAAAAGAGGCATTCACCTGCTTGTTAGTAAATGAATTTGTATTAGTTATATACTTAATCAATTAATAAATCAGAGATCCATATATTATCTAAAGCAATGTTCTCTCTACATATGTATATGTACATACTGAAGCTCAAAAGTGTTACCGGTTCAAGATCAGGCCAAGGATGTTCCCCTGAGAACATTTCAACGATTACACAGCCCAAACTCCATATATCAGCAGCAGAAGCTTCAAGCCAGCTCTTATATTTTATCCTTTTAAGAACCTGTATGTAAGAGAAATTAAACAAGTCTATTAAGAAATACTTTGTGACGCATAATATGGAGTATATGAAAATATGAACCTCTGGGGCTGCATAATATGGAGTTCCCGGCGTGGAGTGCTGGCCCACGGATTCTGCTAGCTATTCAATACAGAAAAAAGCCAATTAAGTCATCAATATTACTCAATATTGGGAATATCATGTCAATCCCAAGGGTATTTGAAAGGCCACCAATACTATGGGACACACATGCTCCATCCGAAACATGAAACACCATCTTAAATTACTGCAGATATAAAGCCTCATGTTCAAAAATCAATGAATGTTCAAAAATCAATGACCTAGATTTTGTCACATGAATGCATGTTGTACAAGATATTCAAGAACTTACATGCTTCGCCAAACCAAAGTCAACCAGCTTTACTTTGTTGTTAGAATCGACAAGTAGATTGTCTGGTTTTATGTCCCTATATAATCAAAGTAGAGAAAGAATGAGAGATGGGGGGAATAAATTAAGTATGACAATGCAGTAAACAGTGGTTAATGATTAATTATCCTACTAGATGCATGTGTGTTAAATGACCAAAACTCATGCAGCATTTCATGCAAGTATGGGATTATACCTGTGAACAACTCTTTTATTACACAGGTAATCCAACCCAGAGAGAATTTGTGCAGTGAACTTTTGAATTAAAGGTTCACGTAAACCCCCTCGTTCCAAGATATAATTCTTCAGTGAACCTGGTTGGATGTATTCCATGTATAGAAAAATGTGGCGTCCAATCTAATTATATGCATGCACCAGTAAGCGATTCATTAATTGTATATATAGTTCCCTCGTCAGCTTCAATTAGGAGAGTACTTACTCTTTCATTTCCACAATACTTTACAATGTTTGGATGTTCCAGTTGGCTGAGAATTTTGATTTCCTGAAAACACAGATACACTTATAGTCATGTTTAATGTGATACAACGAACTGTGAGAATATAATCATTTTATTCACTTGTGGAGGATCATATAAGTTGACAAAGAAATTGTAATAACATATATAAGACGTACCTTTTCAAAAGATTCTACTTTTGGAAGTTTGTGAATGTCATTCAGTTCCTTTACTGCACATAAGTCTCCGGTATCCCTGTCAGAAATGAAGAAAACACATTTCTTACTAAGAAATTAAAACAGAGACGATAAGATCAAAATACCAGTTTACTCGTATACCTGTGACGTGCAACATAAACAATCCCATATCCACCAGCCCCAATACGTTCCACTCTTTCCCATGGGCTAAGATTGGTGGTATGAGAGACTGAATTAACAGCAGAGTCATCCTCTTGAATGACCCTATCAATGCTGATAGCTTCTTCCCGTGAAGCAAACATTACACAGCAAGTTTCTACAGGAATTCCTCTCTATTGGGAAACGAATTCATCAAATGAGAGTGATAGCTTTTATTGTATTATAGTTTTGTGTAATCTAGGAAAGATCAAATGCCTCAGAAACAAAAAAGTAATTAATCCTTGTTTGCCTAAGAAAGAAGGGCAGAAATGGCACACCTCGTCCTGGTTGACCTCCTTTCTTGAGAAGAAGTAGAGAAACAGAGGTCGCAGCAGCAAGTAAAGCAGTCGGATGACAGGAAGAAGAAGTTCAACCAGAATTATGGCTTCCATGATCCATTCAAAGAATGGCATTTGTGAAGCTGCGAGACTTATTAACAAGTGGAAAAGAGCAAGAACGATAAAGAGAAGCTTATTTGAGGCAAACCAGTGGGCGTTGTTAATGTTCGGTCTCCTTATTCCCAAGTAGAGACGAAATTGAGGCCCTATTATTGTGCGCCGTAAAAGCAATGCAATCAAGGAAACAAGAGCTCCTCCCACCACCACAAGTTTTGCGGCGACAGGGGCTTTCATGAATGAGGCTAGACGAGCTTTGAGATGTGAACAATTTCCCCATACAGTACTCTCCCTCAAACCCAAAATCGACTCAGATCTGTCAGTTACCACTTCTAGCTTCTCGGCCATCCCTGAATGGTGCTTGATGATAGAAGCCGGAGAAATTTCATCCGGCATGGATCTTGGAACAGTCGGAGTTGAGGTCATCCGCAATAGATCTGCAAAATTAGGATAAATTATGGATTATGTGATCCGTTAGAAGATTATTTAATCTTCTCGATAAGTGAAGTACAATTATTATTAACAAGAATGTACTGACCGCCATTAGTCTTTATCCAGTTGCCAATGAGTCAATCTATTTCTTCTTGTCTAAAAGCAAGAGTTACCGTTTCTTAAGTAAGCAGCACCAATGGTGGTTTCTGAATGTGAGAGCTTTTGGGATGAATCATTCTTCCTCTGTGCTAGCATGCCTGGGGATAAAGTATACGTTGCAGGAAGGGGGAAGAAGATAAAGAAGAAGAAGCTCCGTTCCTCTCACGGTCAGAGCTCAGCTCAGAATAGTGACTTGCTTCCGCACGAGCTTAGTCTCTTCATCACCAGAGAGGAGGACATTCAACCTCGAGCAGACATGCCCAATAATCCAACTACTTATCTGCGTATAGAAAAAGAAAGACCAAAACTTGATCAGAAAAACGCCAAAACAGAACGAAAAACAAGAAACCCAAGATGCAGGTGTCACAAGCAGTATACACAAGAAACCAGCTAAATGTCTTGGAGCAAAAGCTCATTACAGTAAATAGAAGCAATTCCGCGAAAAAAAAGAAGAAGAAGACGTCACTGAAGAAAGGTAGGTACAGCAGAAAGAATCAAAAGAGGATTCAGTGAGAGAGGGAGAGAGCATCCAAAATCATTCCCGCCCCCGCCTCTCAAATTCCCGAAGCTTCCACATTTAGAAGGGACAAATGGAACCATAAAAATGAAAACGAAACCCAAGGAGCCAGTCAGCGAAATTTACCTGAAGAGAGAGACCAGACTGTGAATGGGAGTTGCAGAGGAGGGAAGAAGCAGGTGTTTGGATTGGGACTGCAAAATAAGGAGAGAGAATCAGAGGGTCACAGAGGTAAGCCGCCATGTTGGACTCGAGCTGTTGACCATTACTCCCTCCGCTTTGTTCTTTTCTAAAGATATAATTAAAGCTTCACCCAAAAAAAATATAATTAACCGAATCATTGTCCAAAAAATTAATTAAAATTAATTAGACACAATAAATATGTAAAAATAATAAATTTTATTTTCTAAGAATATCCTCCTTTATATGAAAGAGAGAAAATATGCAGTGGAAAGAGAGTGTGTAATTAAATAAAGATAAAATGAAAAGTTTATAAATAAATTTTTTAAACAGCATCTAAATGTCTCTTATGAAAAAAACACAGCATATCAAATAATTATATCTTATTAAAAAAAAAAGATGGAGTAGCTTCTAGAAGACTAACCTCTTTATTTTACGGAATTAATTAACTTGACATTTAGGGCATGGTATGATAGCCATCCCCTTGAGGGATGAATTCGGTAATTTGTCCCTGAAAGCTTATTTTGGCTCGATAAGAAGAAAGAGAGGAGAGGGATTTTAATGAAAGGAAGGAGAGGAGACGAGAGTGGAAGAATTTTAATATTATCTTGTTTGGATTTGTAAAAAAAAAAGGGAGGGGAGGGGAGAATATTTTGATATGAACAATTTTGCCCTTATTTTATTTAAAATATGGGTATAATGGTTACAGCATGACAAAATATTACTATTTTCCTCCAAATCTTCCCAATTTTGGAAGGAAGGAAAAAAATTTTAAAATTTTTTTTATTTCCTTTTAAAATTTATGTGTTGCCAAACAAGAAAAAATAATTAAAATATCTCTCTCTCCCTCCTTCCCACTCAAATCTCTCGTACCAAACACACCCTCAAAGGGATTTTGAACCAGTGCCACGGGCTGAAGCATTACAATTTATAATCAAAGTGGAATTTATTTACCGTTAAATACAATCATAATTAATTATCTAGTACTAGCCCTTTCAGACCCGCCGTTTGTTTTTATTTGATGTTCTCCGACTTAATTGTTTTGGTCTTTCTTATTGGCTTTCGTTTACTTTTTGAATTCAACATGGAAAGTATAAGATATTTTCAAAACGAAAAGATATATTTTTGAAAAGCCAAGTCCGAAATGAAGCATTTTTATATATAAAGAACTAAGTACAAAGTTAAAATACTAAAAATAACTAAAATCATATCTTTGTAATATATAAAGCCACTGTAAAACTAACTATTACTTAACAAAGAGATGGTTCAAGAAAACGCAACATTTCAATATGAAGCATTCAATTTAATTTGTTTATATATCTTGAACAATTTTTTTCAGTTTAATTAGTTATAAATTCAAAATAAAAATAATCTTACAATGAAGGACATTTTTATTAAATTACTATAAACATTGAAAAAATTACCTAAACACTACACCGTAAAAAATATTTACAAAAATACCATAGTAAAAATCATTCACGATGAGAACGTGGTGTGATTTATGAGAAAATTATTTGCTCCGAGTTTCATATTAGACATATATTTTAAACAATCAACCCTTGTAAACTGACGAGTCTTGTCCCCAGCTAACCTATGAGCAGCCCATTTATGCTCCTAATTTGATAGGTTAACTCGATTGTCTTTTTTTTTTTTTTTTTAAATGTTTTGATAAAAAAAATATTTTGTTTTTTTTTTCAAACTACTTCTTCTAGTTATTTTTATAAAAACTTAAAATTTGAATTGCCTTGATTTTTTTATGAGACTCTAATTAGGGTATTTTGAACATTTAATATGTTTTTATCATTTTTGCTCCTAATTAATTTTATACAGTCCATTGATTAAAAAGTTAGCAACTTGACATATTACATTTTTTTCCATATTTTTTTCATTACTGCTCTATTTCTCTCTTTTACTTACCTTTTATAAATAAGCACATACTCAAAAAAAAACTTTTTACATATATATTATTTTTAATTAATTTTAAATTTTTTCTTAAATCATTTATCATGCTTTAAAAAAAAAAAAGACCAAAAGGATTATTAATATTAAAGGATTGTAGTTAATCTTACAAAAAAAAAAAACAGATTGAAGTCAAGAATACTTTGTTGTCATTACCTGTTTGAATATTAAATTAATATTTAGTTTTTAGATGATGGTTTTAAATTTTACATTTTTTACTAATTAGATTCTGATCTGACTCGCTAAAGGCTATTCGGGGTTTTAGCATCATGCCATTTAGTACAGCTGCAACCGTACAGTATTGTATATAACGACGACGAAATGACAAAACAATTATTTAAATGGCGTGTATTTTTTACTGCCTTCCGTGTGTAGCTCATGAAAGTGTTTGGTTTGATGCGGGGCTCTATGATCATAATATGCCGTACTTCTTGATAATTTATGCATGTCACTTGTGCTCCATACTTATATATAGGTAAAAAAATTAATAATCGAGTTGGTATATGGCCTTAATTATTTTCATTTATTATTTAACACGTGAATGTTTAATCAATATGGCGCATCGCATTTCATCATCATAGTATGAATTTATTTATTGTTAATAATGATGAATATAATTATCCAGTGTGAGTCATATTCCATATTTGTTTTATCTATTTTTTCTCATAAAACAACAAGTTTAGATGAATTAAGTCTGAGTCATTAAGATTAAGTAAAAAATGCTCATAGATTATTTGGCAATAAAGTCATCACATGGACATTAATAAAATTTGAATTTATAACCTTATGAGTTGCTTGTTGGCATCTTTATTTTAGCTTAATGTTGTCTAAATTAAATGATTTGTTCTGTTCATTTGGTTTTATATGCGTTGTAAGTTAAGGATTATATGAGCACTGGGTCAAAGTTCCTTTTAACACATAATTGACTGACCAGATGGTAATTTTATAATTTCTGTCAAAAGAAAAAAAAGGTGGTAAACACATAACTTAGTGCAAATAGTTGCTAATTAAACTCATCTCCATTATCATTCTTCCTGTGATTCCAGCAACTTCAGCCCTAACAATAGAAATGAATCGTAACTAACTAAGCATATCTCCATCGTTTAATTGAAAAATTAAATAGTTTTAAGAAAATCTTTATTTTCCTGCCATTTCTTTTTCAACTATTTAGTTTTATTTACTTTTTTTTAATTTAAAGCACAAAAACTAAAAACTGAGATTAAAAACGCGACCTTTTGTTTTATTTTTAGTAAAGTTATCATGCCCTGCTCGTTTAAAAAAAAGAAAAAGAAAGTGTCATGTCCTTAAAGTATAATATCTTTGATTAGTTTTATTTATTACATAGATATGGTTGTTGACAAATGAGTGATGACTTTGAATGATGGGACCCTCTAAAATTTTCCACCATGAAAAGACATACTAATTTGCCTTTTCCCACCATTAATTTAAACATGATTTCAATGGTGGTTCTTGAAAAAAACCCTCTTCTTAATACATAATTATAAAACTATTTTTAAAATGATAACCATGGTAGAAAAAGAATTGAGTTAGAGTGTTAAAATACTACCATGGTTATAAAGAGTTTGATGTATTTCGAAAACATCCCAAGTGGCTTAGGATACATAAAACACCCATGGGTTTAACAACGTAGAACAAAGCCTCAGGGCACAGTAATTGCCCACAAGCCCAACATAATATTTATCCCACAAAGACTTAGGGCACAAGAAACATAGGGTGCTCAATCCAGCCCACAAGTCATACACATAAAAGTATCACATACAGCAGAGTCTTATGGCCTTTAGCCATTTTAACAGCATTCCATGAAATACAGTCATCCAAACAAAAGAAAGTATATGTCAACACAGTTGTGGGCCCTAAGATGGCAATATACATAACATTACATATCTAAACCAAAAGAGGACTGCTAGGCTATGCTCGCCTATGCCTCTGGTTGCTTCCCCTCACGCCGAGCCAAACTAGATGGCTCTCCTGAAAAGTATTGATGAACAGCGGGGTGAGACGTAAAGTCCCAGTAACCAAGTATTAATTTATGACATATACAAGTAGGATGGTAAGTTGGTGAAGTAGTGCTTAAATATAGTTTAAGAAATAAATGGTACTTTAATAGATATAATCACATAAAAAGAGTATATCTCTCCATCCACAACACAATTCATATAAAAGTACATATATGCAACAACACAATGAAATATGCCCTCCCATCACCTTGCTCCTCCTTATGACTCCTTGACAAGGACCCGGGCTTTCTGTGCTGAGTAACCCGGCCAAAGGTCACCCCACTCACATCAAGCAACGGGCCCCCTCCTGTACCTACACCGCCCAAGAATGGACTATGGTGCAAGAGGTGTCTACCCAAGAGTTCATTCTCAATTCCGGGCCAAGGAAAAGGAAGAACTACAGGGGTCTAACAATAAGGCCAAACACTGGGATCCGTAGTGTAGGCATGCCGCGCGGGCTTCAAGAACAATTATCCTCCACATAACAAAATCTCATCCTCCACATATGAACCCCATGCATAGTCACAATATAAATCAAAATATCACAATCTTCAAAGTAAGATGATATAATTTCAAACAAAGTATAACACATTTTCATTTCATTTAATAACATAATATTAGTATATTAAATTCAGTACTACACGAAAACACAATTTCCAATAAAACACAACACAAACATAATTAGATCAACATACTTCCCACTTCACCAAAATTTGTCATATAATAAAATATATATTTTATTCACAGGCATACTTTTACAAATTAACTAAGAAAATAAAAACATAATAAACACCTTACAATCCAAAGCGTGTATATAAAATAAATTAACCCCGGTTACCTCTACTTCAAGCTCAACCTCACAGCTTGAGAAATAAGAGCACAAATTACAAACTCCGAAGTACGAGATAATCTACAAATAATATAGATATAATTTAATATACATACAAATAATTAACTTAAATTACATAGAATTTATTATTAATAATATTTATACATATATTTACTATCCAAAAATTCTTACTTCAAATAACAATTTTTCTCTACCCAAAAACTAATTTAAATTATAAATATTTATAAAATATGGTTTTTATCTAATATTGTAAGAATCTCAATTTATAACTTAAGTTTCTAGTTTCAAAATTTTTCTAATAATATAGTCTTAACCTATTTTACGTTTTAAACCGATTAAAATATCAATAATATATTAAGTAACCCAAATAAGTTATTTAACTTAAATTTAATCGGTAAAAACATTCTATATATCTTGAATAATACATTTTTCAACTAAAATCTTCGTTTAAAATTCTCAAAACAATCAATAAACAAATATAAACCTATTAAAATTTCAATAATATATCAAACAATCCAAATAAATTATTTAACCTATTTTTAATCGGTATAAATATGATATATATCATAAATGACAGATTTTTCAACAAATAAATTTAATTTTAAATACCATAGATAATAAATAGACAAATCTAAACCGGTTAAAATTTCTTAATAATAAATCTTTAAATTCCTACGGTCAAATATTTTCGAAACTCAATACTTACTCTATACCCAAATCACAAAATTTTCTTTAAACATTATAATGATACTACTAATATAAAGCTCTAAATATATAGGAAATATTCATAAAAGAAATCTAATAGAAAGAAGTATTTTTATGTACCTAAATGATCCCCAAATGCTAGCACGTCCTTGCAGAAATCTTCACTCACTCTCTTGCTCTTTGTTTTTCTTCCTGCGTCTCTCACCCTCTCTTTCTCTATTCTACGCAACACTCCCTCCTCTATTTATCATTCTCATTTCAACCGTCCACCCCAAATTTTCTACCTTCATTTATGATCCTTTCCCATTTTTCCTCCTCCCTCTTTAATTGCCTGCGTCAAAATGCCTTCCGTCAATGGTCTTCCCCCATGATTCTTCTCCCCCTTAATAAACCCCCAGCTTTTCCACTGAAAGTCGGTGGAAAGCTGGGTCAATTTTTTTTTAATTAATAAAATATTATTATTTAATAATAATAAAATATTATATAATATTTTTTTGTTTTGTTTTTTTTTTTTTTTGGAATGTTACAGTTCTCCACTTTTTTTGTTTTGTTCAACCAGCAATTCCTCAGCTGAAACTAAAAAAAATATTTAGAAGAAACAATTATTAAAAAATTTCATAATATTTCTTTGTTTTTTTTTTTCCTGATCAAGATAAGTTAACAGTATAGGTTTATTATTATTTTCTGTATTGGAACTTATCATCAATTTACTTTAATATTTAGAGTGATTTTTCTCAAGGCGTTTGACAAAACACTATTCAACCATGTTTTTTGTTGACTTTTGGGTTAAGATGTACTTCGAAATATTTTTTTCAGATACATCCAGCATTTTAAAATATTTTGTAGTACGTTCAATACTTTGAAATATTTTTTTTAGATGCGTTCAACACCGTAAAATATTTTTTAATACATTCAACATCTCAAAGTATTTTTTTAAGTGCAACACCAAGGCAAAAAAAATATTTTAGGGTGTTGGGTGCATCTAAAAAATACTTGGAGATGCTGCACATACCTAAAAATATTTTAGAGCACCAGATATATCTAAAAAAAGAATTTTTAAGTGTTAGATACATTTTCACCTTCTATTTTTTCAGAAACAAAAGCTCAAATCAATCTCCCTCTATCCTTTTTTTTTTTTTTTGCCTGACCGGACAATCTCCTTCTTTTTTTGCCTCATTATGTATTTACATCATTTACTCAAACAGGTAGTGTTGGATTTAAACTGGGACCACATACATTTAATTCAGTAATATAACTATTTCCATTTGTTTCTGTTAATTAAATTTTTCTATGGGGCATTGTGTCTTTGCAAGTGAGGAATCTCGAGAGCTACTGTCAAGAGTTATTGCATATGCATCTAAGACATTAGATAAGGCACAAACCAATTATATAACCAGAGAAAAAGAATTGTATGTAATAGTCTTTGGTCTAGAAAAATTTAGGCAGTACTTGTTGCATTCTAAGGTTGTCATTTTCACAGATCATGCTGCTGTAAGATTCTTTTTAAAAAGCCTCAATCAAAGCCTAGGTTACTTAGATGGATGTTATTGATACAAGAATTTGACGTTGAAATAAAAGATAGGGCAGAGGTAGAAAATTTAGTGGCGGATCATTTGAGTAGGTTACCTACTAATTCAAAAGGGATAGATGAGATAGATTTAATTTGTGATGCATTTCCTGATAATATGCTCTATGCTGTCACTGTTAAAGAGCCTTGGTTTTCAAACTTAGTCAATTATTTAGTTGCTGATGTGGTGCCTCTATTTATGAATCAATTCCAGATCCAGAAACTTAAAAGAGAAGCACAATACTATGTATGGGATGCTCCACATTTATGAAGACTATGCAATGATCAATTGATCCGCAAATGTGTTTCAAATGAGGATATCCCTTCTATTTTAGAATTCTCTCATTCTTTATCCTGTGGTGGTCATTTTAGTGCAAGGAAAACTTCAAGAAAAATTTTGGATTCTGGTTTTTATTGGCCTTCTTTGTGCAAAGATGCTTATGAATTTTGTAAAAACTGTGATAAATGTCAGAAATTTGGTGGGCTATCTAAAAGACAAGAAATGCCTCAACAACCCATGTTATTTTGTGAAATTTTTTATGTTTGAGGCATTGATTTTATGGGTCCATTTCCCCCATCACATGGTTTTTCATACATTTTGCTAGCTGTTGATTATTTGTGTAGCTACTAGGAAAAATGATGCTCAAACAGTAGTGAAGTTTTTGAAATCTAATATATTTTGCAGATTTGGAATCTCTAAAGCTTTGCTTAGTGACCGTGGTACTCACTTTGCAAACAAACTCATGGAAACATTGCTGTCCAAGTATGGAGTCACGCATAAGATGGCAACACCCTATCATCCACAAACAAATGGTGCAGCTAAGGTATCCAATCGGGAAATTCAAGGCATTTTACAGAAAATTATTAAACCAAATAGGAAAGATTGGAGTCTTAGATTAGATTAAGCTTTGTGGGCTTATAGGATAGCATATAAAACCCCCATTGGTATGTCTCCATTCAGAATAATCTATGGAAAGGCGTGTCATTTACCTGTTGAAATTGAACATAAAGCTTACTGGGCAATAAAAACTTGTAATATGGACCTAGAAGTTACAGCTGAAGAGAGAAAACTACAAATTCAAGAACTAGAAGAGTTGCGTTTAGAAGCTTATGAGAATTCCCGTTTGTATAAAGAAAGAACTAAAATTTTACATGACAAGGGGATTTTGAGAAAGGTTTTTCAAGAAGGGGACAAGGTACTTCTCTACAAGGCAAGATTTACTTTCAAACAAGGCAAACTCCATACAAGCTGGGATGGACCATTTGTGGTACTCAAAGCTCATAATTTTGGAATGGTAGAGATCTTGGATGAGCAGACTGGACATGTTCATAAGGTCAACGGACACTTGTTAAAGCACTATCATGCCAATGACAAGCCACCATAATCAGATTGGTTGTCCTCTTTTCTCCCTATCCTTTCTAATTTTGCACTGCCATTAGTACTACTTTGTTTTTCATATTACAGAATTTAAGTGTGGGGGAATTAAGGGTTTCTTTTTTTTAAAAAAAAAGTTTTGGTGCTGTTTTATTACTTTTCTCTTGTCTGCTGCTAGACACTTATCACACATGTAGAGCACAATCCTCTTTAGATCAGTGTTGTTTTGCAACAGTGAATGTGATCTTTCCCTTTTGTGGTACATTGAGGACAATGTCTGTTTTAAGTGTGGGGGAGTGAGTGTAATTGTAATCATTGAAAACTAGCGATTTGACGCTTGGAATGAATCTAATTTGAAGCATTTAGCTATCAAGTAGTCAGGGATTTTATCAACTTTGGTCTGCTCCTTGCTGTAGTAACTTGACTTTGTAGTGAATTGGAATGCTGCTTACTTGTTTATCATTCTGTCTTAGTTTTGCTGTCATGAAATTTAGTTGAGCTTTGAATACATTTCTTTGAATAATGTTAGAACTTGTTCAAGTGTGAATTCCTTGCTAAATCAATCTATTTTTGGAAAGTGTGCATCATAAATAACTCTTCTCATGCATTAAGTTCAAATCCTCATGCAATTGTTCAGGGTAGGTGAATAGGGATGAGTAAACCAATTGGAAGAATTTTGAGCCTCAATTCATTTCTTAAATCGTGTGTGAAGCCATCTAATGTAGTAACTTCCTAGAACTTGTTCCTATCCTTAATTCAAGACTACATTAGCACTTGGAATTGTGAATATGATAAGGGCATTTCATTCAAAACCCTTTAACCAAACAGTAGCCATTCACACTGACCCGTTGCCTAACCCCTTGAGCCTTTCACTGTTCATTAAAAATTTCAGCATGATTGATGAACACTGCATACATTGGATACTGTGAGAATATGAGTTGCCGACATAATAGTTCAGTTCTGTGATGGTATATGTATTGATAGAAGTCAAGAGCTTATTATAGAAAGTCTGATATATTCCTACCTGCCTGGCCATGTAATCACTACTGCAATGATTTAAAAAAACGGTTTGAATGAAGACAAGAAAAAGAAATAGTAAACAAAGAGGTGCCAATGAAAGCAGAAAAAAAGAGAGAAAGAAATTAAAAAAATGGAAAAGAAAAAAAAAAGAGAAGAAGAAGAAGAAGAAAAGAGGAGAGAAAGAGAAATAAATGAGCAGTTGAATTGACAAGGAAGAGGAAATGTATTCATTCATGATTATGTAATGTCAGATTGCTGATACAATTCATAGTTGGATTCATATATGAACATATCTTGAATGCTGGAAAAAAATGTTCGTATGCTGAGTAATCTAGTAAAACGCATGTGTTCATTAATTATTGACACTCATTTTCCATTCCAGCACTTGGCCTTTCCAACATTACAACTTTAACAAGCCCCTTTGATTCACAAAGCCTTGTGGCAAGTAAGTGGTGGAGAGATGTAGGGTGGTTACAAGCCTATGGTGAAGCCTAAGCTAGATGGTCTTGAGAGAAATGACCTTGTTCTATGAGAGTGAGGGAAACACTTTACCTTGAGAGAAACCTTATCTTTTATTTGTTGTCCTTGGCTAAGTTGCATGATTGTGAATTGATCTTTTAGCATGTGAGTGTTCTTTATTGATGACATTTGAAGGAAGTGATTGACGAACACAAGTATTTCATTTTTTGAGCATGGTTTAGCATTCTTCATTGATAATGTGCTTGAAATTCAGCTTTATTCTGTCATTCTGTCCCAGGAGTGCCAAAACTTAAGTGTGGGGGAATTTGATAAATCATATTTTTCATGTGCTTGGGATGTATATTTTAGGCTATTTTAAGAAATAGATTGAGCATTAATTGCATTAATAAATAAAGGAAATGTTGATGCACTTGAGTAAAAGAATTGAGCAATTGTGACATTTTTAATCTCCACAAGTGGATATTACTTTTGTCTTATTATTCTGAATTCAGGGGCAGAATTGTAAATTTAGAGTGACAAACATTTTTCCTATGAGGAAGGAAAGGGGAATCCGAAGGAGAAGCAATTCCATCACCAATGGAAAGGAGATTCCATCATAGATTCTAACATTCAGATTCGGAAACTCTAATCCTGAAGCGGGAAAGCTGAAATGTTCAAAAATTTCATTCCATGACTAGCTTAGAGCCAATGAAAAAATTAGTTACAACAACTTGGGAACCAGAAACAGAAATTAATAACGGACAAGGAGGAGATACAGGAGAGACATGAGTTTGGGAGCGGCGGCATATATATTGGGAAAAAAATAGAAATAACGAGGGGTTTTTTTTCTTTTTCACCAAGGATTGGAACATTGAGATTAAGTTTCTATCCCTCCAATTTGTCAATCTTCTCGTGGGCAAAAATTACTAAACCTGATATCCTCCATGGAGAAGTCGAATTCAAGTGTTGAAGGAGGGAGAGTATCCGTCATGTTTAGCTAATTCTAGATATTCTTCCAAGAGCATAACCGAGTCCGAGCTACTGGATTGTAGAGGGAGTTAACATTCATCTTTCTTCTTCAATTACTATGCCAGTTGTAGAGTAATTAGAATAGAGTTCTGTTGTTCTCTATTCAAAAATTGAATTGAATGTTGTGTAACCGAATGCTGTAGAGAACTTGGTAATTCATTCTTGAGTTAGAAGTTAATTAGATCCTTAATTTGATTCGGTGAAATTGGATAATGTGGTTTGATTAATTGATTCATTCGAATATACGTTCTGTTCAGTTAGGAATGCTTAGTTCTCTTCCACACACTCAGTAACACTTAGCTCCAGATTAGATTAAGGCGATGAAGATGGAGTGAAACTCTTGGGAGAATTGAGACTCTGATGTTTTTCTTAAGATTCAAAGTGCTGTCTACGTTTTCTTTCCTTATCATTCTAATCTTGTACCTAAAAAAAATCAACAAAGACCTTTCTGTATTAATCTGAATGTTACTCTATTTCTACACTGCTACCAGTAAATTGTATTAATTTTGCTTAGAAATTCAGAGAGTTAATTGACCAAGTGATTCGACACTTAAGTTGCATCATTTTACTGCACAACTTCCCCTTCCTTCTTGTTTTTGATTGCCTATTGTAATATCTCTAATTTTATGGATTTGAGTAAAGCATGATGAAGGAGAAATTTTTAGAGAAATTATTGAGATTAAGACCTTTCAAATATGGTTTGAATAATTATAAAGTTAATTTCAGGAATTTAGGACCTATTTTCTTAGAAAATTCAAGGAAAAATAGTTAGAGGATAATTTTTGAGCTAAGATTTTTAGGATAATTATTTTATGGACTAAAGAAGCTAATAATAGAAGAAAATTCATATAAAATATCCAGGTTTGACTTCTGGAATTATTTGATTTTCCTAGAAAATAGAAAAGGATCAAATTGAAAGAAAATAAAGACCAAAGGGCATGATGGTCATTTCACATCCCTTGTTCCTTTTAATTTGCCAAAAACGCCTCCTCCCTTCTCATTCTCCTCTGCTACCGACTTGAATAAAAGGAGAAGGAACATAGAAAGCTTGAAAGGGTGAGAGGAAGACGAGCGACCACGAAGAAGAATCAGAGGTGTTTTCTTTGCATGTAAGCGTGCTTTTCTGATTAAGGTGAGTCCTTCAGGCTTTCGTCTATCCTTGTTTTCTTTGATTGGGGCTTTATGGGCGTGGAAGAGATAAAGGAAAATCCTGCCCTAGGGAGAGAAATTCAAGAATCGCATGAAAGCTTTGACCAAAGCATAAATTTGGAGTTGTGTGAGAGTAGTCCTGCCCTTTTATGCTGCTGTTTGTGTTCTTTTTTTTCTGGTACTTGATTGCCGAAACAAGGGATGGGTGATTCAGGGGGCTAGCTTCGAACTTTTCTTTCCTTGGGTATAAGGATGAATATTGATGAAATTGAAGACAGGTTTTATGACCCACGTTTATAGGAAATTGCTCTTGGGCTGATTCTATTTTAATGACATTCTCGAAGACGTCTTTGAACAAATACCTTCATTGTTTTATGCGGATGGCACGGGTTCCATACTTGAAAGGTGAATAAATAGGAATAGCATGATTATAAAGATTAAATAATGTTATAGGATATTTTGGAGGAAAGGCCGTGAGGTTTAACGAAAAAAAAAAAGGAGATGTAAGAGATATTTGTGTGTGTGTGGGGGTGTTTGGCTATTGTCCATGTCAAATCTGGAAAAATTTTCCAAATTTGCTTAAGAATGTGGCGTGAAATATAGGAAGGGAAGAGAGATGATTAAACCTCAGTGTAGACATATTAAAATATTTTTGGAAGCACGGGATGCTATCCAAAATTGTTTAAAGTGTGAAGATAGATATTGAAATCTGAAAAAAAAAATTTATAGATTAGCAAGGTTGCTGAATTATTTTTGGAGACTAGGAATAAATCATATATATATAAATATTAATCTGCCCTTGCCCATATAATTTATAGGATTTGATATTTATTCAAGTCCATCAAGAAGAGAGCCAAGGAAGAAGCAAGGGGAAGTTAGTGCTGAAGAAAAAGCAAAAGGTAATAACTCTTTTCCTCTAATGTGATTATGCATTGATTGCCACATGCTTGGACGTGCCCTTATGCTGATTGTGCATGAGAACATGTAAGTTGCCTTTGCATGATAATAATTGTCATGACAATATGTGCTGGTTTCCATTTATTTTGGAATGTGGGCGTAATAGATAGCGATTGGCTATATGGGTGTATGGTGTATGTGCATCATTGATTATATTTGGATGCAAAGTGTTGTTCTCTTTGGCCTATGTAGCATGTTGTTTATGATTTTGTATGATTACGTGAAGGAAATTTGTTACTACTGAGATTCTTTAGAGTCTCACCCCTTCTTCCATGTAATACAACAAGGCAAGTACTCCTAAGAGCAAGGGAGTAGTGATCGGTGGAGTTTAAAGGTGCACGAAGCTGGCGATCTTTTGTGTATATATATTTTGCTTAAAATGCATCTTATTTTGAAGTGAAGATATATTGTATATCTATTTTGGTATGTAAATATTCCTCCATAAGGAGGTGGCTAAGGGCAGATAAACCATGGTAATTGCTATTGAAGAAAATAATCAATATTTTGATATATAGTTATTATTTTGTCTAAAATTATGTGTAGCTGTACATGTAACTCGTTGTACGAGCCTATGGCCAGAATATTGAATGTTAGATCCTACTGGCTATAATTGATTTGATATATGATCCAAAATGTTGGATGGGAAAAGAATGGGTTCGATGGTTGAATATGAACCATGGGTTTTTAACGGTTTTTACCATTTTTGTAAAAAGGTTAAAGCGGGTACTCGAACCACTAGACAGGTTACTCAAAAGTGAATTTTGAAAGGTTTAAAACTTTTCAGAAAATCTCATTCCTTGAACAGGATCAGACTTCGTATTTGGGAACTAAAAAAAACAATTGTCTTCCCAAGGATTGGAACCTGGTTTTTAATGATTCGAGTATTGTCCTATATACATGTCACACAATTGTACATTCTAGGGTTTCTAACCCTCTATTTAAATGAATAGTAAACATCTGGCTGTGTGCGCCATTATTATACACAAAAACCTAGTTTTATTTATCTGAACCCAATCACATATTTCTTCTTTTCTGATGAAACTTCACTGTTGGATTCTGTGGAAGAATCAGTTTGAAGAACGAGGAGCATGGAGGAGATTGTTAACAGGAATAGAGCTTACGATGAAAGGTGTGAATTTCTATTAGTTGAGGAAGGAGAAGGCAGCATTGAAGGCTAATTTTGATGAGCAACTGAGCGAATATGTAGAATCAGGAAGTTTAGAGAGACCCACAGCGTATAAGAAGCAATCTAATGCAAGAAGAAGGGCAAGAGAGACATAGACGACAGAAGCCAGCATTAAAACAGAAGGTTGCTTATCATTATTGTGAATGGATTGTTTGGGTTAGGGAAACCTACAGTCTTCCTTGGAGTATTGCACTTGATTGGCCCACCAACACAAGAGCAACGTACAAGCATTTTCTTAACCAATGCTGACATTTCCTTTTCGTTTTGATCACAGTGCTTGATTGGCCCCACAAATTACCATTAGCCCCGTGACGAATTGTTGTGGTTGCTCCTTCAGATACTGAAAATATAAATAAATAAATGAAAATATTAATCCATGAGAACACAAATTCATCTTGAAGTGTCAAATTAAAACAATAGAATAAGGAGACATGAATGTGAGTATGGAGCAAATTTTTGGTGTGTTGTGCTTCGTAATTTCAGAAGAGGAAGAGAAATCAAATTTATGTCCAGTATACTAACTAGTGACCTATACCTATTTTGGTAAGATTCAGAAGAGAGGAGGAGGAGAAATGCGCCTTGCTGTACGTGATACTACACTCCATTATTTTTATATCTGAAGTTCAGGCGGTTTTCATTTGATTGAAGTTATATATATTTGACAAGTGTAATTACAACGAAAAGGAATTACTGATGAAGCCAAAAAGCGATTTTATCGTTTAAAAACAAAGTACAAGTTTTCTTAGTTATATAATACATTCATTTCCATCACTATTATATAGTATAAGTTAGTAATACATCTCATTTGCCAACCATAATCTTCTATCTAATTTTGCTAATTTACCTCTTGGTTGGGATTAAGGACAGGTCATTAAATAGGTAGAATATATCATGAAGGGTTAGAACAATTTTTTTTTTTAATTCACACACACACACGTATACATGTATAATACATATGTATGTTTGTGTGCGCGCACGCTTTTTGTTATTATAAAGGTTTTTTAATTAAAATCATGTAATTTTTTTATAGATGTATTCAATCTTTGTAACTCAACATTATATAAATACATGCAATAGATCCTTTGAAATTAATTCAACTGAGACGCCGTTGAGATATATCCAGGGATACGATCAAGTTCCATGAAAAACCTTTTATCCTTGACTAAGATTTGCGTAACTAATTAAATAATTCCTTTATAAAAAAAATGTGTTAGTTTTTCTAAAATATTTTTTTGAATTATTTGCACTAAAACTACCTCTTACATAAACTCCCTTAACATGTGTGCAATTAATAGGGAAATATATAATTTCGACAAAAATTACAAGTAAGAGGGATAACATATAGGCTAAAACATACATTTGGTCTCTTAACTTTATATAAAGTTTCAAGCTAGTCCCTTAACTATAAAAGGGATACATTTAGTCATTTAATCTTAAAATTGTTAGGTTTAAATGATGATTTTTGGTAACAATCATGATTATTTTGAAAATTAAACTTAATATATTAGCATTTGAGAATATTTTATTAATATTTAAAATCTCAATGTCATCACTGTTTGTTAATAATTTTAGGAGTAAAGGATTAAAAGTATATTTTTTAAAATTAGGAGGCCAAATTGAAGCTCCCTATAAACTTCAATAACTAAATATATATTTTAGCCTAAAATATATTAAAATCTGATATTTAGAACCAAGCTCAACCATCAACTAACTTTTATATTAAAAACTAGAGGTAGTATAATAGAAAATGCATATGTTCATGTATTAATTTCTAGTATTAATATTTATTTAGTTTACATGTCAACCTGATTGTGAATAAATTTTACTTAGTTTACCCCTTCAAGGAGTTAAAGACATGACATAAATAAATTCTTAGTTGAATATATAAGTTTATATCTTTGTTTCGTAATCAAGACTATTTATTTTATTATCATCATATAATATCAAATTGTATACATATAAATAACTTGACGGCCAAAAAATTATATTTCTACATAGAAAATCCAATTGAATCACCAATAATGACAATCGATCAGATGAGTAATTTTTACATCCCTCCGCCAAGCTAAATGGAGAGAATTTGGTACTAAACTTGTCTTGTTTGGTGTACAGACAAGAAGGATGACAAAAGAACTATTTTCATACTCATAAATAAAAATAATATTCTGATAAGAAAAATATAAGTACTAATTTACTTTAGTATGCCCTCAAATTTTAAGAGGGTGTTTATTATTATTATCAGTAGCAGCAGCGTAAGCGCATATGCTGCCAAAATGGTCTTAGCGAAATGGTCAAGTCCAAAATAGCTGTCTCTTTGGACTAATATTTTGTCCCTCTGTTCATCTTGACTAATAATTTTTGAAGGATGATAATTATGTAGCAGAAATCCAAAGGCTTAGGTGTCTAAAAAATTTTGTTAAAAAATAAGTTATAAATAATAATTCAAAAACTTCTGAATATGAGAGTTCAAGTTGCAAGCTATATATATTATACTTCACTATTACTAACTACCTTCTGCCTCTAAATATAGAAACTGTATAAAAAATTCACTTTAATCATAAATATAATATCTTAATCCATTTTATCTTTCTAAATTTATATATTTTTTAAATTATCATTATTGATTGCATATATTAAGAAGGCTTACAGTCAAAGAATATCTCTATTGCATGTGATTAAATAAAAAATTTAGAAAAACCAAAATACACTTGTCATATATAGTTAAATTACCTAATTTCATTAATTTACACAAATGAGTTATCCGAAGCAAAAGTAGTACTACCTCTGGTCCTTATTATAAAAGCTAGTTGATTAATTTGAGTAGATTAAGAAAGTTTGTTAAGTTAGTTACTTGTAACAAATAGGCATTATTTTTCCTAAAACACTCTTACTAATCATGTGTATTAGTTAGAACTATCATTTAATAAAACATTTAACACATATAATTACTATAAGGACTACCTTGAAAAAAATGGATAAATATGAGAGACAAATTGGATTGGAGTATTATATTTAGAACCAAATTAAAAGTCAAACTAACTCTTATATTAAAGATTGGGGGTAGTATTAATATCAGACTTGCAACTTAGGCTTTCATTCTTCTAATTATTTTTGGCCAAAAAATACTCATAACTATTTAAATCGATTCTAAGTTAATATTCAACAAAATTTGTTCAGACCGGACCGTTATAAGATTTAAGTTTTGAAACTTAAACTATTATTGCTCCTAATAGTTTCCCAATAATTAATTCCTTGCCCGTGTTATGGAACTGCCCAGGATCCTTCTTTAGGGGGAAAAAAATTCTAAGACAATGACGCTTTCAAACTTCGAAGAAATTAAAAAAGAAAAGTGTATATATTAAAATTAATTGGACTGAGTCAGAACACTGACCAATAAAGAAGAAAATGATACGACAGAATCATTAATTCAAACGTCAAGTGGCAATTTTCTACCTACGGCTGCCGATAAAAGCCATATTCAACTGAACTTTTGCATCATTCCACGTGCGCTCTGATGTACACGGCAGCTTCTACATTTAATACTTAATTATGAATATTCACGTCTGCATGGACATGCAACGAAACACGCGTAAAGTACGAGGGGGCCATTAATAGTGTGCCGAGGGAGCTAGGCATGCACAAATACTTGTAATTAACTTTCTGGCCGGTTAGTTTTTTGTCTCGTCAATTATATATCTGCAAACTAAAAGATTGGACTAAGTTATTTGAACTCTAAACGTAATTAAGTTGGCAGAATAACAGTAACAAAAGATGACAAAACAGCAGGCATTTACCATATCGATCTTCTGTTGAAATTGAAGATAGAGGTCGATATACAAAATTCTTGAGGAAAGAATGAACATTTTCATGAAGAATAATGCTCCTGCTATGCACAAAATTATTGAAGAGACGACCCTTCTTAGGGGTGTCTGTTGTACCCCCTCTAATGCCATTCTTCTTGCCCTTTCATTTTGCCTCCCTTCTCAAATATTTTCTTTTTATTTCTTTTGGTCATTAAATTCTACATAAAGTGACACTGATATCTCATGGACAAAAAATAATACAATAGTTTTCAATTGTGATATGAGTTTTCAAAGAAAAATACTCTAAATTTAAAAAAAAAAAACTGTAGAATATAATATCAAAAGACATTTTTTGTGGAATATTTGAAAAATTGTAAAAAAAATAAAAAACTGTACCATTTTTTGCTCATAAAATATCAAAATATCACTCATTTTATGTAGAATATAATGATCAAAAGACATTTGGAAAGGAAGGCAAAATGATGCGGTAGCAAGGAAGGCATTAGAGAGTGCAGCAGACACCCCCTCCCCTTGTTATATAGACTAATTAAGGCCTTAGCTATATAAATGTCATACTAAAATCTCCAAATACTCCCAACATTATCAAGCCTTGTACTTTCTTCCATCAGCAAGCTAAGTTGTCTGTGCTTTTGCAAAGGGATGCTCTCGTAATGCTGCAGCAGAAGGCCGCTCGTCTGGAGCTAGGAAGCAGAGTTGAAGAAAATCTTTACCCTCTTGGCTCAACTCTTCTGGTATGGGCGGATGTTGATGATCAACACAAATTTTATAGTAAGCCCGCACCTGCTCAGTAAATGAATTTGTTTTAGTTATATACTAAATTAACTAATAAATGAAATATCCATATATGGGATGCAATGTTTCATACACTTAATACCCAAATTTCTCACTTATTGCCCTTGCATTTAACCAAGGCACTACTTCATTAACGCTAGACCTAAAGATTAGCTAGTCCTTACAGTACATTATGGGCTTTGTTTTTGCTTCATTTGTTTAAAGCATAAAATAACAGAGACTTGCATTCTTTGATCTTATATATGCAGATTAAGAAGTCATATGTGTGTGTGTGTGTGTGATGCAATGTTCGCTCTATATATACATAGAAGTGTAAAAGTGTTTACCGGATCAGCATGAGGCCAAGGATGCTCCCCCGTGAACATTTCAATGATTACACAACCCAAACTCCATATATCAGCAGCAGAAGCTTCACGCCAGCTCTTATATTCTATTTTTTGAAGAACCTGTATATATGAGAAATTAAACAAGTCTATTAAGAAATACTTTGTGACGCATAATGTAGAGTTTGAAAATATGTACCTCTGGGGCTGCATAATATGGAGTTCCCGACGTGGAGTGCTGGCCCACAGATTCTACTAGCTATTCAACACAAAAAAGCCCATTTAAGGCTTCACTATTGCTGACTCTTGGGATTATCATATCATTTAAAAGGCCACAAATAATTAACCACCAATACTATGGGACACACATACTCATCCTAAACATGAAAAACCATTTCGAGTTCAAAAATCAATGGCCTCGATTTTGTCACATGAATGCATGTTGTACAAGATATCCAAGAACTTACATGTTTAGCCAAACCGAAGTCAACTAGCTTTACTATGTTGTTAGAATCGACAAGTAGATTGTCCGGCTTTATATCCCTATAAAATCATACATATAAAAAACAAAGAAAGAATGAGAGGTGGGGGGAATAAACTAATCATGACAATCCCAATACACAGCGGTTAAGAATTAATTATCCTATAAGATGTGTGTCATGATGACCAAAACTCATGCAGTATTCCATGTAAGTACGGGATTATACCTGTGGACAACTCTTTTATTACACAGGTAATCCAACCCAGAGAGAATTTGTTTAGTGAAATTTCGAATTAAAGGTTCAGGTAAACCCCTTCGGTCCGAGATATATTTCTTCAGTGAACCTGGTTGGATGTGTTCCATGTATAGAAAAATGTGGCGTCCGATCTAATTATGCATGAACCAGTAAGTGATTAATTAATTGTGTACACAGTTCCCTCATCAGCTTAAAGTAGGAGAGTACTTACTATTTCATTTCCATAATACTTTACAATGTTTGGATGTTCCAGTCGTCTGAGAATTTCGATTTCCTGAAAACACAGATAAACTTCTAGTCAAGTTTTATATAATGAACTGTGAGAATATAATCATTTCTTCACCTGTGGAGGATTATATAAGTGTGACAAAGAAATTGTAATAACATATATAAGACTTACCTTTTTTATGGATTCTACCTTTGTAAGTTTGTGAATGTCATTCAGTTCCTTCACTGCACATAGGTTTCGAGTTTCCCTGTCACAAATGAAGAACACATATTTCTTACTAAGAAATTAAAACTAAGACAATAAGAAAAAAAAAATGCCAGTTTACTCATATGCCTGTGGCGTGCAAGATAAACAATCCCATATCCACCAGCCCCAATACGTTCCACTTTTTCCCACGGGCTAGTATTGGCGGTATGAGAGAGTGAATTAACAGCAGAATCATCCTCTTGAACGACCATAGCTTCTTCCGGTTCATCTTTTTCCATAGAGCTGATATCTTCTTCCTGTGAAGCAACCATTACACGGCAAGTTTCTAAAGGAATTCCAACCTATTGGGAAAAGAATTTATTAAATGAGAGTGATAGCTTTTATTTTATTATAGTTTTGTGTTATCTAGGAAAGATCAAATGCCTCAGAAGCGCAAAAATAATTAATCCTTGTTTGCCTGAAGAAAGGCAGAAATGGCACACCTCGTCCTGGTTAACCTCCTTTATTGAGAAGTAGAGAAAGAGAGGTCGCAGCCGCAGGTAAAGCAGTCGGATGACAGGAAGGAGAAGTTCAACCAAAATTATGGCGTCCATGATCCATTCAAAGAACGGCATTTGTGAAGCTGCGAGACCTATTAACAACTGGAAAACAGCAAGAACAAATACGAGAAGCGTGTTTGGGGCAAACCAGTGAGAGGTCTCAATGTTGGGTCTCCTTATTTCCAAGTGGAGACGAAATTGAGGCCTTCTTATTGTGGCCCGTAAAAGCACTGCAATCAAGGAAACAAGAGCTCCTCCCACCACCACAAGTTTTGCAGCCATGGTGGCTTCCATGAATGAGGCTACACAAGCTTTGAGATGTGAACGATTTCCCCATACAGTACTCTTTCTCAAACCCAACATCGATTCAGATTTATCAGTTATAACTTCCAGCTTCTCGGCCATGTCTGCATCATTCTTGATGAGAGAAGCCGGGGAAATTCCATCCCGCATGGATCGCGGAACAGTCGGAGTTGAGGTCATCCCCAATAGATCTGCAAAATTAAAATAAATTGTGGATTATCTGATCTGTTGGAAGATTATTTAATCTTCTCAATAAGTGAATTACTATTATTATCAACAAGAATGTACTGACTGCCATTGGTCTTTGTCCACTTGCTAATGAGTCAATATATTTGACCACCAATTATCTAATACTATATTTTCGTCCGATTCGAATTTTTAGATTTCTGATTATTTTCAAGACCGGTATCATATTTAAAAAATCAAATAAAGGAACACCCAATTTCTTCTTCTTTAAAAGCAAAAGTTACCGTTCTTTCCGTAAGCAGCATCAATGGTGGTTTCTGAATGTGAGAGCTTTTGGGATGAACCATTCTTCTTCGGGGCCAACATGCCTGAGGACAGAGTACGGCGCAGGAACCAGGAAAGAGTAGGAAGAAGAAGAAGAAGTTCCGTTCCTCTCACAGTCAGAGCTCAGCTCAGAATAGCGATTTGCTTCCGCACGAGCTTAGTCTCTTCATCACCAGAGACGAGGACATTAAACCTTGAGCAGACATCCCTAGTAATCCAACTACTTATCTGCGTATAGAAAAAGAAAGAGCAAAACTTGATCAGAAAAACGCCAAAATAGAACAAAAAACAAGAAACGCAATATGCAGGCTTCACACTACGAGCAGAATATAGATAATATCAAACTTTATACTCTCAAGAGACCATCCAAATGTCTTAGAGCAAAAGCTCATTACAGTAAATAGAAGCGACTCTGCAGAAAAGAAAGAAGAAGACGTCACTGAAGAAAGGTATACAACACAGAATCAAGAGAGAATTCAGTAAGAAAGAGAGAGAGAGAGAGGACACTGAGTACGAGTTGCAGGAGAGAGAAGAAGAAGCAAGTGGTTAGATTAAGAATGAGTTGGATTTAGCGATAACAAATTGATGGAGACAAATTAAGGAGAGAAACATGAAGACTCCAAAATGAGGAGAGATAACCAGAGTCAGCAAATGTGGGGGCCACGGAAGTTAGTCGCCAAATCTGACTGAAGTTGTGGGTCATTAAGCTTCTAGAAGATTAATGTCTTTATTTTACAGAATTAATTGACACTTAGGGCACGTCATAGTAGTCATCCTTTTGAAAATATTGGGGATGAAACTAGGTTATTTGTCCCCAGGAATTGGGGGATCTTAAACAAGTGCCTAGAAGCTAAAGCATTATACTCCGTATTTAATATAATATCTTATTTGATTTTTTTAGTCTAAATATAAGATTTTAATTCACTTTGTCTCTCATATTTATCTTTTTTTTTTAAGATAATCCTTCTACTAATAGTAGTTATAGCCAATAAACTTGATTAGTAAGGATATTTTCAAAAGGACAATACATATTTATTACAAATAACTAAAGTAATTTATTTCCTCACTCTATTTAAGTTAGTCAACTACTTCTAATATTTTAGGATCGGAGGTAATAATTTATAGTCAAAGTGGAATTTATTTACCGTTAAATACAATCATAATTAATTATTCAGTACTAGCCATTTTAGACCCCTCGTTTGTTCTTATTTGATGTTCTCTGACTTAATTGTTTTGCTCTTTCTTATTCGCTTTCGTTACTTTTTGAATTCAACTTGGAAAGTATAAGGTATTTTCAAAACGAAAAGATATATTTTTGAAAAGCCAGGTCCTAAAAATGGAAGCATTTTTATATATAAAAATTATGTACAGAGTTAAAATACTCAAAATAAATAAAATCATATCTTTATAACTTATAAAGCCACTGTAAAACTAATGTCACTTGGTAAAACAAAGAGTTGGTTCAAGAAAACCGACATTTCAATATGAACCATTCAATTTATTTCTTTAGATATTTTTGAACATTTTTTTATTTTAAGAGGTATAAATTTAAAATAAAATTAATCTTATAATGAAGAGTAAAAAAATTTACCTAAATAATATACAATAAAAAATATTTACTAAAATACCACAGTAAAAATTGGGACTAAGGTGCGTTTAGCATCCCGAAGTATTTTGTTAGGTGCATCCAACTCCCTAAAATATTTTGTGGTGTATCCAACACCCTGAAATATTTTTTTTCATATGCGTCCAATATCTTAAAGTATTTTGTAATGCGTCTAGTACTTTCAAGTATTTTTTTTAGGTGCATTCAGCACGTAATATACATTCATTTAACTGACATTTTGAGGAGTTGATAATGGAATTAAAACTGCCCATAAAATAATACTTTAAAAGCACAGCTACTTTTGAAAAAAAAAATTAATACTTTAAAATCAAAATTATACCATAAAATATTTTAAAGTACTAGATGTATTTAAAAAATATTTCGAAGAACTGAACTATCACAAAATACTTCAGGACACCTTAACCTGAAAAATTATTTATGTTGAGAACATGGTGATATTTATCAAAAAATGTTTGTTACGAGTTTCATATCAAACAAATAATTTTTCAATTAAAAAAATAAACTCATTTCGAGGATGAATGAGTTTAGTACTTATCATTAACCAGACTGAACTAGCCGGGTTGGACCAAAAGCAAATGAACGAGTCACTTGGTCAGTTGAGTCAACCCTTATAAACTGAGAAATCTTGACTTGTAGTAACTCGGACCAACCTAGGAACAACCCATTTAACCTCCTGATTTTATGGGTTAACTTGGTTGCTTTTTCAAAAAACATATTTTGATAAAAAAGTCTTTTTCTAACTATTTCCTTCCTTCTTTTTATAAAAATATGAAATTTCAATTGCCTTAATCTTTTTATAAAATTCTAATTAGAGTTGTTTGAACATTTAATGTGTTTTTATCATTTGCCCTAATTAATTTTGTATATTCCATTAATTAAAATATTGGCAACTTAGCATACTACATTCTTTCTCATACTTTCTATCATTATTATTCTGTTTCTTTCTTTTATTTACCCTTTATAAATAAGGACATACTTAGAGGAAAAAAAGGTTTGGTTTTAACATATTTATTACTTTTAATTAATTTTTATTTTTTAAAACCATGTAATTCAGTTATCAAGGTTTTAAAAAAGGATCAAAGATAGCATTAATAATTATTAATTTTGTGATTAAAATACTTTGTTGTCATATATCTATTTAAATATTAAATTGATATTTACTCTTTAGGTAATATAATATAAATTTAAATTATTTCTAAATTTTTTATTCCTCACTCATGTAACTCATTATCCCTCAAACTGCTCGTTCCATTGGCTTAGTACCAGGGTACTTAGTACCACCGCAACCGTACAGTGTTACATGACCATGAAATGACAAAACAATCATATGTAAATGACATGTATTTTTCATTGCCTTTTATAATGTAGCTTATGAAAGCTGTTTGGTTTGATGCGATACTCTATGATCATAATATACTGTACTTCCTGACAGTTTATGCGTTTAACTTGTGCTCTCACACTTCCATATCGGTCAAAATTTAATAATCTAGTTGATATATAGACTCAACCCTTTTCCTTTCTTATTAAGCATGTGAATGTTTAGTCAATATGGCGCATCACCTGTCATCATCATAATAATGAATTTATTTATTGTTAATAATGACGAATATGATTATCTAAGTCACATTCCTTCTATGTTTCATCTATTTTTTCTCATATACTACTTTTGATGCTAGTTATAAAAACTTATTCATAGACTATAAATAAGGTTTTATTCATAGACTATAAATAAGATTTTATAAATAAGACCGGGGATTAGTATATAACAAAAGTTTAGATCAATTAAGGTTGACTCATTAGGACAATTAAGACATATGTTCTGCTAAAAATGACTTATCAAAATACTTATAGATTATCTGGTAATATAGTCATCACATTTAAAGTAATAAAATTTGAATTTATAACCTTTGTGAGTTGCTTGTTGGCATTCATTGTTTTAGCTTAATGTTGTCTAAATTAAGTGAATTGTTTTGTTTATTTGCTTTTATGTACGTCGTAAAGTAAAGATTATATGAGTACGGGGTCAAAATTCCTTTTAACACATAATTGACTGACCAGATGGTAATTTTATAATATTTGTCAAAAGAAAAAGAAAAGGTCGCAGACACATAATGCAAATAGTTACTAATTAAACTTATCTCCATTACCATTCTTCTTTGATTCCATCCACTTCAGTCCTAATCATAGCAATGCATAGTAACTAATTAAGCATATCTCCATCATTTAATTGAGAGACTAAATAGTTTTAAGAAACTCTTTATTCTCCTTCCATTTCTTTTTCAAACATTTACTTTTTTATTTGAACATGTGACTTTTTATTTATAAAGAAGTACACGATGTCATCAAACTATAAAATCTACCACCGACTAGTTTTATTTACTATCCTAGGTCCTTAATATCAAAGTTAATTGACTAATTTAAATAAATTAAAAAAGTTTGTTAAGTTAATTATTTGTAGTAATTAGGTGTTGTTTTTTTCTAAAATATCATTACTAATCAAGTGTCATTTGATAAAATATTTAAATATATACAACTATTACAAGAACTATCATAAAAAATAAATAAACATGAAAAAAAATTAAAATTTTATATTTAAGATCAAATTAAAAATTAAACTAATTTTTATATTAATTAAAAAAAAGATAGTAAAGATAATGAGGCGGTTGTTAGGAAATGACTTTGAATGATGGAACCCCCGGACTTTTCCACCATGAAAAGACGGGACTATTTTGTGTTTTCCCACCATTAACTTGATCATGGTCTACTGAAACTAGGAAAAATTATAATGAAATTATAAAAAAAGGATGCATTTATTAAAAAAAAAAAAAGAGGTTTCATAATAAGTTAACAGTATGATTTGTTATTTTTTTTAATTAAAACTTATTATCATATATTAATTATTTCTTTGTAGAATTTTTTGATAATTTCATTCTTTACTTAGAAATCCGGTGCCAAAGTCATTGAATGGGTAAGTCGTCAATCCCTAAAACAGACTAGGTAATTTACTTTATCCGTTGGGTTACGGGTGGGCATTTTACCAGAGGTTTCTATTGTATCAATCTACCCCTGTGTGATTCCTGTTGCTATGATTTTTCTCAAAGTATTTGACAAAACACTATTCAACCATATTTTTGGTTGACTTTTTTAGCAACAAAAGCTCAAATCAACAAAAACTCAATTTTTTAGCCTCATTTTTGCTATGGTTTTTTTTTTTTGTAACCGTTGTGGAAATCTAACTTTCCACAGCGGTGTATTAAGCAACCACTGTGGAAATTTAATTTTTCACGACGGTTGTTTATTTAACTGTCGTGGAAAATCAATTTTCCATGGCGGTTTTCAACCACCATGTTTTTTTTACTTTTCAACTTTTTATCAATTTCACTTTTAAAACCGCCGTGAAAAGCTACTATTAACCGCCGTGAGAAGCTTTTTTTTTTGTAGTGATTATATATTTATATTCTTTAAAAAGTGTTTGGATGTAAATTAAATTATAATTTTAAAAATAATTTTATAACATATGAAGTAAATATATCGAGGAGTTTATCTTAATTTACAAAAAAAAATACTTTTTGAAAGTATTTTTGGGTCTAAACACCTACAGATTGGGTTGGATTTGAATTGGGACCACATGCATTTAATTCAGTAATATAATAATTTCCATTTGTTTCTATTAGTTATATTTTTTGGTGGGGCATTGCAAGTGAGAAATCTAAAAATGATACGGTCGTATTCGTATTCTCCAAATTAAATTCTTTTTTGTGTAACCAAATTCTCCTAATTAAATTCAAACCGGCAAACCAGGAAGGAACTGAACAGTGTTTTACGTAGTCTTTTATTGGCACATTATTTTGAGAAATTAATATCTCCCAAAATATTTAAGAGGAAGGATTAAGCTTTTTACAACTAAGTATATTAGTATACAAGGATTTGGAAAAGACAAATCTTTGGTTTTACTTTAATAAATTTAATATTTACATTTTATTTCATCATTTTTTTTGTCTTATAAAGAAGACAAGTTTGAAAATTCATCACCTTGTACCATGCTTTTCTTACGAAAAGAAAAGGAAAAAAGCCAAAAAAAATAGATGTATAATAGTAGTAATTCTTAATCATTCACAAAAATGTTGATAATGTAAATTTGAAAAAGAAAACCGGTTAATATAATCTTTAGTCTTTCAAGTTTGCTCTCATTTTGGTTTTGTTCCCTCAAGTCTCAAACTATAGATTTTGATCTTTTAAGGAGCAAAATAGTCTAACCTTTTATTAGATTATAGAGACCAATATTTTAAATGAAAAGAAACTTAAGGGACTAAAACTTATGGTTTAAACCTTGAGGGAACAAAACTAAAATGATGACAAACTTGGAGAACCAATATTTATATTATCCCCAAAAAAACCTATCTTATTTAATTGGGGTACCCCACACACAAGGGCTGATTGAGATTTGACCAATTAAATTTTCAAGTTTATAATAACAACAAGGACATATAAATTGATGTCTCCACTAACGGGGTCAAAATGGATATCCTAGTCAAAATGTCGAAAATATAAATGTAACAAGACAAGAGAGGCACCAATTTGTTACAGTTTCATTTAGGAGTTTCGAGCACTCGAAATTTTTTTTCTTGTATAACTTTGCCTCCAAAAGTCAAAAAGCATAGCATTATTGCACCCTACTAATAAAATTGTGACGTTAAACGTTAATATTCTTTATAATAAGAGACAATATTACTACAATTTTAAACTTTCAAGACAAATTAGCTCTAAAAAAAACTTTCTAGTCACCAATGCTCATAAATAAAAACGTTCGGGATAAATTAGCACCTTAACCCTTAAAAAAATAACAAAGTAACTGAAGCCTTTTCACAATGCTAAGTTTGTGCTTTCTTCCATCAGCAAGCTAAGTTTTTTGTGCTCTTACAAAGGAATGGTCTAGTAATGCTGCAGCAGATGGCCGGTCGGCCGGAGTTCTTGTGAAGCAGAGTTCCAGAAATCCTTTACCCTCTTCGCATAACCCTTCTGGTATGGGCGGATGTTGCTGTTCAACACAAACTTTATAGAAGGCCTGCACCTGCTTGGTAAATGAATTTGTTCTAGTTATATAATTAATCAATTAATTGATAAATGAAAACTCCATATATGGGATGCAGTGTCTCATATAATTCCAAGATTATTTTGATGAAAAAATATACCCAAATTTCTCACTCCTTCATTACTAACGCCAGACCTAAAGATTAGCGAGTCCTTTGAGCACATTATTGTATGCTTTGTCTACTGTTCTAAGATTATAAGTGTTATATTTGTGCTGGATAAACCAACAATAGAAGTGTAGAAGTGTTTACCGGCGCAAAACCAGGCCGAGGATGCTTCCCTGAGAACATTTTAATGATTACACAGCCCAAACTCCATATATCAGCAGCAGAAGCTTCAAGCGATCTCTTATATTCTATTTTTTGAAGAACCTGTATGAACGAGAAACAAGTTTATTAAGAAATACCACTTTGTCACACATAATGTAGAGTATGAAAACATATGCCTCTGGGGCTGCATAACATGGAGTTCCCAACTCTAAGTGCTTGCCCACAGATTCTGCTAGCTATTCAACATAGAAAAGCCAATTAAGTTAATGCTTTGGTTCTTGGGAGCATCATAACAATGCCAAGGGTGTTTATTAAGTATTAGTTCATTTTTAATATAAAATCTAATTGACTAATTTGGGGATATTAGAAAATTTAAATAAATTATTTTAAAGTATTATATTTATTGTTTTTTCCAACCTAATTTGGCCATCTTAAAAAATGATATATAATCTAATGATGCACGTGAGTATTTTAGAGAGATGATTATATGAGATATGCTATAATTGAGTAATTTTTTATCTTTCTTAATTTCCTAAAATTAGTAAATTAGATATTATATTAATGACTGAAAGTAGTATTATGGGACAAACACCTGATACTAAACATGAAACATCATCTTAAATTACTGAAGATATGAAGCCTCGTGTTCAAAAATCAACGGCATTGATTCTGTCACGTGAATGCATGTGGTACAAGAGATCCAAAAACTTACATGCTTGGCCAAACCAAAGTTAATCAGCTTTACTATGTCGTTAGAATAGACAAGCAGATTGTCTGGCTCTATGTCCCTATATAGTCATACATAAAAAAATAAAGAAAGAATGAGAGGTTAAGGGAATAAATTAAGGTAATCCCAACATGAGCTAAAAATTAATTATCCTGCAAGATCTGTGTTACAATGACCAAAACTCATGCAGCATTCCATGTAAGTATAGGAATATACCTGTCAACAACTCTTTTATTACACTGGCAATCCAACCAAGAGAGAATTTGTTCAGTGAAATTTCGAATTGAAGGTCCATGTAAAACACCTAGCTCCAAAATATATTTCTTCAGTGAACCTGGTTGGATGTATAGAGAAAGGTAGCGTCCAACCTACTCATTGCATGAAACAATGAGTGATTAATTAATTGCGCATATAGTTCCCTCATCAGCTTCAATTAGGAGAATACTTACGATTTCATTTCCATAACACTTCACAGTGTTTGGATGTTCTAGTTGGCTGAGAATTTTGATTTCCTGAAAACATAGATGCACTTGTTACAGGAACTTCACTCCATTGGGAAACGAATTCATAAAATTAGAATGATAGCTTTTATTGTATTTTAGTTTGTGCTATCCAGGAAAGATTAAATGCCTCAGAAACACAAAAATAAAGATTCCTTGTTTGTATAAGAAGGAAAGGCAGGAATGGCACACCTCGTCCTGGATGACCTCCTTGCTTGGGAAGAAGTAGAGAAACAGAGGTGGCAGGAGAAGGTAAAGCGGTCGGATGAGAGGAATAAGAAGCTCAACCAGAATTATGGCGTCCATGATCCTTTCAAAGAATGGCATTTGTGAAGTTGCGGGACTTACTGACAACTGGAAAACAGCGAAAAGCTTTATTGAGGCAAACCAGTGGGAGGCGTCAACGTAGAGACGAAATTGAGGCCTTATTATTGTACCCCGTAAAAGCACTGCCATCACGGAAACAAGAACTCCTCCCACCACCACAAGTTTTGCAGCCATGGCGGCTTCCATGAATGAGGCTACATGAGCTCTAAGATGTGAACAATTTCCCCGTACAGTACTCTTTCTCAAACCCAAAATCGATTCGGATTTATCAGTTACATCTTCTAGCTTCTCGGGCATGTCTGCATCATGATTGACTACCATTGGTCTTTGTCCCGGTGCCAATAAGTCAATCTATTTGACTATATTTGAAAGGGATCACCTAATGTCTTCTTTTTCTAAAAGCAAAAGAAGTAACATTAGTTACCGTCTTTCCCATAAGCAGCAGCAATGGTGGCTTCTGAATGTGAGAGCTTTTGGGATGAATCATTCTTCTTCTGGGCGAACATGTCTGCGGATAGAGTACGTTGCAGGAAGAAGAAGACACCCCCAATAATCCAACTACTTATCTGCATATAGAGAAGGAAAGACCAAAACTTGATCAGAAAAACACCAAAATAGAACACACAAAAAACAAGAAACCCAGGGAGGAGGTCAGCGAAATTTACCTGGACAGAGACCACACTGTGAGTGCGAGTTGCAGAGGAGGGAAGAAGCAACCGGTGGAGTTGGGAATGAGTTGGATTTACCCATAATATAGTGATGAAGACTGCAAAATAAGGAGAGAGAAACACTGTCAGCAAATACACTGGCCACACAAGTCACCAGTCGCCATGTTTGACTGAAGTTTTTCATCTTTAGCTCGTAGAGCATTGACCTCTCTATTTTATAGCATTAATTAATTATATAAAAACTAGATAATTAATTTATGGATTGTTACAAACGTGTATGTCCTTAAAATATTCTCTTCAATCATAGGCATTGGATAATTAGAATTGTCCATTGGTTGGAATCTCTTAGAATTAATAGATATTTTCAGAAAAAATGATATAAAAATAAATTGAGATCTTATATTTATAATCAAATTTAATCATGAGTGAATCATGTATTAATTTAAGGACAGAGGTAATAATTAACATGACATTTAGCCTAAAAATATTAAGGTTTTTGTCTTCATTTATCTTATCTAAAATAAAACTATGCAGTAGTTATAAGTACAAACAAGAGCCTGAACATCTGTTCGAATAAGAAAAGTTTTACACTTTGTTAAGATATGTAAACTAATGGTAAATGAAGATCTACTAGCTATTATGGTGATTAAAATGTTAAGAATATCAGCTACTATTCTTGAAAGAATTGAAAATTGATTTTAATTGTTCTTCCACAAGTCCAAAACATCTAATTCTTTTCAATTATCTAGCTTGAGTATTGATTCTTCTAAGTATTTTTCTAATTTAAACTTATTCATAAAAGACTAATCTATAACTTTATAAATATATTAATAATAAAAAAAAAATAGGCAAGCTTAAAAGGGCTAGCCCTTGGCCTTAAAGGGTTGACCCTTTTATTTTTGAGCCCTATAGGGCTAGTTCTTTTAAGCCCAATTTCCTTTTAAACCACCTAAAATACAAGCACGGCCCTCCACTTAAAAAAGCTTAAAAAGACTGGCCCGATAGGCTTGGCCCGTTTTGACAACTCTACATTTAAGGCATGTCATAATAGTCATCCTTTTAAAAATACTGGGATCGAAATCAGGTTATTTGTCCCAAGGAATTGGCCGATCTTAAGCAAGTGCCCTGGGGCTAAAGTATCATAAACGGTCTGGGCGGACTAAATTGTATTTTTATAGCACTAGTGTATGAGGTTATTAACTTTTTAATTGACATCATAAAATGTGACTACCACCTGTGCTCAATCAATACTACTCATCAATTTAAATTGTTCATTACTAGCCGGCCATTTCTTTTAATTTACTATTTAATATGTGAATTTTTAATCAATGTGGAATTCATTCATTGTTAAGTACGACTGATCTTTAATATGAGAACTAATTAAATATTCAACTAGGCTCTGAATATAATATTTCAATCCACTTTAATTTTCTCCAACTTTTATCTATTTTATCATCAAGTAATAATATACATTGTTAATAAAAATATTTTATAAAAAATAATATTTATTTATAATAAATAACCAACTAAACTAATTTTTTTAATATCTATAAATTAGTTGTATAATTTTTATATTACTGAACAGAGAGAGGTAGAATAATCATAAATAATTATCCGGTAGCCATTTTAGACCTCTCATTTGTTTTCATCTGATGTTCTCTGACTTGACTGCTTTGCTTTCGTTTACTTGGAGACACGAAAAGTATCAGGGCATTTTTCCACAACGAAAAGAGATATTTTTAAGAAAAAATCCTTTAAAAAATACTTTTAAATTTTAAAATTTCACATCAGCTTAGTTCGCTATACTTTAATAACAATTGATAATATTTAAAAAATAAATGATAACATATTTTTGTAGTTATTTCTAATTTGAGATTTTGATATTTTAAAAAAAAATTATTTTTCCTATTTTTTTAAAAAGCCATGTCATAAAAATCAATGTATACTAAAAATAACTAAAATCATATCTTTATAATACCATCTTCAGTTCTTAATATAAGAACCAATTGACTAATCTAAGTAGATTAAGAAAATTAGTTAAGTTAGTTGTTTGTAATAAATATATTAACTTCCCTAAAATACTTTGGCTGATCAAGTGTATTGTTTAGAATTATCATTTAATAAAAATTTTAACATATACAACTACTATAATGACTTTCTTAAAATATATATATATATATATATATATATACACGAGAGATTATATTTAGAATCAAATTAAAAATTAAACTAATTTTTATATTAAAAATCAGATAAAGCCACTTAAAAACTAACTATCACTTGGTAAAACGAAGAGATGGTTGAAGAGCATTACCTGGGAAAAAAACAGAAAAACAAACAAGCATAACAGAGATATGGTTCAAACAAAGCTGAGTCTTCTTTTTGGAGCGTTAGTCGTATTCTCCGGATTGAATTCAAAACCAACAAATAACGAAAGAACTGAACAGTGTTGTATCCAATCTTTAATATACACGTTATTTTGATAAATAAATATCTCCCAAAATTTTTAGGAAAAAGTGCAAATAAAGACCCCTAATATGTAAAATTATGATTTGGGAGTCTTAATTTGAAAAATAGCAAATAAAGACCCGGTCTTACTTTTGTAAATATGAAATCGTGATGAAATGTCTAAAATATCCCTCAGCCAAATGACAAATTGACTGTGGGAAATGACGAATTCACTTTAACAAATGACAATTTCAGTAGACCAAATCACAACTCGGCACGAGCGTATGACAAATGAAGAGTTGACTATGGAAAATGACAAGTTCATTTTGACGAATGACAACTTTAGTAGACCAAATCACAATTTGACTAGGGGCATTTCAAACATTTCATCATGATTTCATATTTACAAAAGTGAGAATGGGTCCTTATTTGCTATTTTTCCAATTAAGGTTCCAAATTGTAATTTTACATATTAGGGGCCTTTATTTGCAATTTTCCCAATTTTTCCCAAATTGCAATTAATACGGTTTTTTTTTTTCAAATTTTAACCTTATTTACTTATTCTCTCTTTTATCATACTCCTTCTAACATTTGATTCATACTTTCTCTTTTATCTTTTTTTTTACTTATTATAAGAATATATTTAAAAATAAAATTATATTTTTGACATATTTATTGTTTTTAAATGATTTTTCATTATATATAAATTTGTCATTTGTAATTTATAAGGTTAATATAATATTTGGTCTATTAAGTTTGCTTTCATTTTAGTTTTTGTCCCTCAAGTTTTAAACCATAGGTTTTGGATCTTAAAAGGGTAAAATGATCCAAGTTTTTATTGCATTACAGGAACCAATATTATGAATGAAAAGAAAGTTGAAAGATCAAAACCTATGATTTAAAATTTGAGAGATCAAAACTAAAATTAGAAAATCAAAATTTGAATTAATCCAAGTTTATGACAAAAATAATAGAAAATAAACTTTTAAACTTCTGGAGAAAGTAAATTTTTAGACTTAGAACAAGGGAAACAAAAGAATATCATTCCAATTTTTAAATTTCACACCAACTATATCTAGTGCAGTTTGAAAGGGGATTTTTTTTTTTTTGACCAGCCAGTTTGAAAGGGCTTAAAGAAGACGTCTCCTTTTCTTCGTCTCTTTTTAATTCTGTTTCTTGTAGTTTAGTATTCAGAGCTATTTTTGATAAGTGAGAAACTTTTCTTTTCTTTTCTTTTCTTTTACCTGTCAATGCTTATGAATTGTAACCTTACTTTATTTTATTTATAAATATCATTTTTCTCTGACCTAAAAAAAAGGCTAGAAAGTGCAATACTTCCATACCACAAGTGAGATTCCACTTTTCAGTGTATCCTTATTTTTAATTCAACTATTCTTTCAAAGGTCAACATTCTAAAGGCAACACAGTCCATACTACTCATTTTGGTGTCTTGACTTTTCACACCTGTGAAATCGATATACTTCTCCGATCTTTAATATAGAACTTAATTGTTAAGATAGTTTTGGTCCTAAATATAAAACTCATTTCTCATATTTATCAATTTTCTCTAAATTGTCCTTATGGATACTCCATTAACCATGATCAAGTAGAAGAGGAAAAGGAAGTATTAAGAAAGATGATTATGGTGTTTTAGGAAAAACGTGTCACATTTCTTATAATTAACTAACTAACCTAACTTCCTTAATATATACAAATTAGTTAAATGGATCTTATATTAAAGACTAGAAGAGTATATAAATAAACTCTTCCTCCACGTCACTATTAAAAATAGTTAACATTGACTCCACACTTTCAAATTATTGTTCAAAGTCATCATAAATGGTATATGGTTTGCAATTAAGATTTTCGGGCTTTACGTCTTATGGCTCAATTATGTGACTGCGTCCAACATTGTTTAATAGGTTTTGAAATCTGGTCAAATAAAAGGCATTGCAAATGTTGATTTTTCTTGCCTTTTTGAAGTATATAAAAAAAATTAAAACTAGAAAAATCATTTTTTAAGGGTGTTGAAAATGACTATTTTTTAAATTATGGATAAGTTTCTTTTAAATACAAAGCCTTAGCCCCATCTTTTATTATTCGCTACAATTTTATTGAATTTTTACTTTGTAACCTTCTTTTCTTTATTTTAAATACAAGACAATAATTATTGTTAAAAATAAGATATTTTCTTTCTTTTTTTACCAGCAAATAATATATTTCCTCTTTCCTACATTTTTAAAAAATTTATATAAATAATTTTTTTGAGTTGTTAAAGATTATTTTTTCAAATTTTTCCATATCCTTATAAGTTTTTTGTAAAAACAAAATATTAGCACAATTTTTTATCTTTTCTTATAATGTTTTAAAATTTGTATTATGTAACTTTCTTTTGATTTTTTAGATTATTCCACATCTTTAGAAGTTTCATTTAGGAACAAAATCTTAACACAATCTTTTAAAGATATTTTTCACAAATTCTATTGTGAAAAATAAAATAATACAAAATTTGGACAAAAAAAACTCTAACCCTCTTTCAGATTTCATCATACAGTTTGAAATGAGAGAGAATAGAAGATATAATACCTAACAAAATTTCTGCATGAATATCTTTATGAGATTTGTTCAAAAACAAGATCTTAGAAGTATAAATTTTTATTTTTAAAATTTATTTGTTCTATTTTAAATAAATCACAAAAATTGTGGGCATTAGAGGAAAATAAACTCTCGCCCTTTTCAATTTGACAAGGGGCGGGAGTAAAAAAGAAACGCATGTTGTGAAGCGATGGAAAGGAAAGAAGCGCAAGAGGAGAGATAAGAGAGTGAAGCGAGAACCACATAAGGCTAAATTGCAAGTGGAGTAACACGAAGATGGAGAAGAGACCAATATTATTTAAGTGCATCATAATTAAAATCAGTGAGGTTTACTTGCCTCATTGAAAAGCATCCAAATCAGAACCATCAAAATAAAAAGCAAGGAAAATTTATAATAATAAAGCCATTGTAAATTTAAATAAAGTAAATTCACCTCATTGAAGTTTACGTATTTCCGGATGACATGTAAAAGCAGTTTGTCCTTTCAATTCCCCAAGTAAAGCCATGAGATTCATTAAATTGCCCAAATAGCATCTAGTATTAACAAATCCAAAATAAAATCATGCTAATAGACTTCTCTTGCCTCAGTAATTATAGTTACCCCTTAACCATGAGCCTCCCTTATCATTAAGTAATCTAATTCTGGTCATTAATGTAAGAGCTAGTTGACTAATTTGAATAGATTAAAAAAACTAATTAAGTTAGTTATTTGTAATAAATATGTGTTGTTTATCCTAAAATATCCTTATTAATCAAGTGTATTAGTTATAACTACCATTATTATAAGGACTATCTTAAGAAAAAAAATGGTTAAATATGAAAGATTATATTTAGGACCAAAATAAAAATCAAATAAGCTCTTATATTAAGAACGGGAGGTGGTAGTTACCTTTTACGCATAAATAGCAAGGACCATTTTGTTTTCTTATTATTCACCCTACATAATGTGTGCTATAATATTTTTATATCTTTGAAATGCTCAAAGTATTGGCTACAATTAATTTTTTAGTTTCCATAATTTTATAAGTTTGTTCCTTGTGGGTAATTAATTTATTTGTTTTGGTTGTTTCAACTTCTTTTAGGATTACTTTTCCTATGTATTTATATTGTTTTCTTAATATTTTTAAATTAGTTTGAGTACATTATGATTTATGTTGAATCAGCCCTCTAACAATTAATATTATTTGAAAATAAATATTTAAAAATATGGATTCATTATGATATTTCCAAGTGAAAACCTATGCAGTTTGATTGTACACCTATTTTATAGTAACTACATGAGTTGTTTGAGTAAAAATGATTCCAAAAGGCTAAGTTTTCGCGATGGTTTGGAACCTCTCTTCTTCCTTTTTTTTTTTTTTTAACCATTAGATTAATACTTTAACAGTTCAGATTTAAATCTTTTTAAAATTATTATTAATTATAAAGCTAAATAATAAACTACAAAGTCTATCAAAATTTAATTATAATGGTTTGCAAATGTACTAAATATTTTTAAAATTATTTTTATAAATAGTTTATAAAAATTAAAATATTACATGTTAAAATATGTTAATCTAATGGTTAGAAAAGAAAGAGGACGAGAGAGGATGGGAAGGGAAGAGGAGAGGTTCCGAGAGGGGGAAGGTAGCACCAGTTTAAATATTCCAAGACTGAACTTGTTCCGCAATGTTCTTTTTTGATTTTGTTCCGGGGAACAGTTTTCCAACACAAGTTTAAACCAAGTTTTGAAAATTTATAAACATGAGGACAAAACTTAAGCATGCATGGTTTGGTTTTGTATAGGATTTGTCAGCAGTTTTTCCCATAAAAAATATCAACATATCGGTGAGTTTCAGCACCAAATAAAAAATCTCTCCCCCCCCCCATACACACACACATATATATATGTATAAAGTAGAAGTATGTCGAGATTGGAAGTTAATTCAGGCCTATATAACTTGGCAGAACAGCCGTAATCATCTATACTATCATAATTCTCTTCTCTTTCTTTCTCTATCTTTAGGATTTTCTTTCCTCTGTTGTGCATTTTCTGCAAGTCTGTGCTTTCATGAAGACAAGAATGGATGTTGTAGTAATTCTGAAGCTGATAGCCGCTTGGCTGGATTTCTTTCGAAGCACAATTGGACAAACTCTTGACCCTCAGTCGACAAATCCATTGGTATTTCAGGATCTGGCTTGTTCCAACACACTTCACGGTTGACCTGCCGCTGCATAAAATGATTCTATTTAATGATAAGTTTAACTATAATTGAAACATCAGTTATTTACCACCCTACTTAGTGTATATATATTAGTCTGAATAGAAAATGAAAGACAGTAACTGTTGAGAAGTGTTATACCCAATCAAGATCAAGCCAAGGGCGCTTCCCTGTGAACATTTCAATGATTACACAACCCAAACTGCATATATCAGCGCTATAGGCTTCACCCGAGCTGCTATATTCTTGATTTTGAAGAGTCTGTGTGAGAAACATGGTTTATTAATTAATTAATAGTTCTTGTAAATTATGATGATATATATAAAGTATGAAAAATGCAGATACCTCTGGAGCTGCATAATGTGAAGTTCCCCACAAGGAGTCACTGCCCATAGATTCATGCCCCTGTTCAACACAGAAAAGCCCCTTAGCCTTGCTGACTCAGAGGGACTAAAAAGTGAAGAGGACAAAAACATTATTGTTGAATAAGTGAAGAGGAGGAAAGAAGTGTTAAAGGGATAAGGAAATATTAATACTCCTCCGGTCTTTATTATAAGATCCATTTAACTAATTTGATTAAATTAACAAAATTAGGTAAGTTAGTTAATTATAAGAAATGTGGCATGATTTTCCTAAAACACCATAATCATCTTTCTTAATACCTCCTTTTTTTCTTCTACTTGATTATAGTTGAGGGAGTATTCATAAAGATAATTTAGAGAAAATTGATAAATATGAGAAATGGATTTTATATTTAGGACTAAAAATAACTCAACAATTGGGTCCTATATTAAAGACCGGAGGAGTAATTTCATTATATAGAAAATAACTGTAACTGAGCTAATAGGCAAGGTTAATTTGTTTACTAGATGCAACAGGAGAGATATTCAAGTACTTACATGTTTAGCCAAACCAAAGTCAATAAGCTTTACAAAGCCATAAGAATCAACGAGAATGTTATCCGCCTTGATATCCCTATATAAGCATAATAGTAAAGGGGAAAAAGTTGAATTACTTAGGATTAAAACAATATATTTTATTACCAATTTGGCTGGACCATATGGTTGATGAGTATAATTAAGCGCAAATCAACGAAATATTTGCATATCATTATAAACCAAGCAGTTAGAGGGAGATCGATGAACATACCAAAAATAGATAATACTCCTCCGGTCCTAAATGTAAGACCCTTATACACACTAGTATAAGGGTCTTACATTTAGGACCGGAGAAGTACTTGCAGTTCCATGGAACTAATGCAGTATTGCACATAATACTACTGAGTACAGAGACAGGATTATGGAATGCATACCTGTGGACTATTCTTTTGCTGTGTAAGTAAGCCAACGCAGAGAGAATTTGGAAAGTGATATCTTTAACTAAACGTTCGTGGAAAGCTCCGCGTTCACTGATGTATCTCGTCAGTGTCCCAGTTTCAACATATTCCATGAGTAGCCATATCTGGTTTCCAACCTATTCACCCATAAACCGACATGTGTTAACTAGACACGCACGCAAAATGTAAAAACTTATGGCTACTCAGTGCACAACTTACTCTTTCACTGCCATAATACTTTATAATATTCGGATGTTCCAGTTGGCTGAGAATTTCGATTTCCTAAACACAAAAACACACTTTAGCCCGGTATGGTATGATGAAGTGTGTGAATTTTGTTTCGTTTTCTTTTAATGTATTTCTGTTATCGTCATTATCTACCCATAATTCTGTACCTTTTTTATGATCTTAAAGCGACAGCACAATCATTTTACCGTTCAGAAGCCACGCATGGCGTAATTTGTATTCTGTAAAGTTATATTAATGTTTGTTAGGCAAGTAAAAAGGATCATATGAATATAATAATGTGCCTTGTTCATTCCTTTGTCAATCCAGGCACAAATTCTTTTCTCTCTTTCTTCTATTCTATTTGAAAGACACCTGAAAATCTTTGACTTTCTGATTCTTCAAACAAACATTGTAATAAAAGACATACCTTAATGTTGTCAGGATTGTCAGGGTCTTTTAGTTTCTTTACTGCACTTAAGTGTCCAGTTTCTCTGTCATAAATGAAAAGCACAACACATTCATGTTTTTTATGGCTACACAAGTGTCTACATAATTCATTAATTACTCACTAAGAAATGATGAAATGAAGAAAATAAGATCAAAATGTGAATCTAGTCTGAGAATTGTATACATACCTGTTACAGGCAACATGAACAGATGCGAATTCACCGCCGCCAATAGGGGGATCCCGTATTTCCCATTGGCTAAAAGCTGAGGTACAAGAAGAGACTGAACCAGGAGAATCATAATCGTTTTGATCAACCAACTCATCAGTGTTCAAAGAAACAGCTCCAACTTCGGCAGCCCCGGCAGCATCCTCTGTTTCCCATTGGCTAAAGTTGGTGGCAGAAGAGATTGAATTATTAGAAGAATCATAATCCTGTAGATGAACCAAGTCAGTGTTGAAAGAAGAGGCTCGGGTGAGGCTAATATTTTGTTCCAGTCCTTTGCCCTGCTTGATCATTGAGGCGGCCATTTTAGAACAAGTTCATAAAAGCATCTTCATTAGTAAAGTATATTTACCACTCAACAAATTGTCTATAACATATGTACTTTTTGGAACACAGTGAAGTCAAATGCCCGGGTTAATAGCAGCTAAGGAATATAATTGTTAAGAGAAGGGAACAAATGGCTCACCTTGGTTTTGTTGAATTCCACTCTTTCGGGGATAAACATATGGGTCAAGGCCAGAAGAACTAACTCCAGAGATAATGCAAGGAACAAGGTTTTGGAAAATGTGCGAACGATGGTGTAGAAAACAGTAACAGCTGCAGTGATGGGGAGGTTAGCAGATAGGAGAACCTTTTGTAGGTGACAGACGAGAGATACCTTTAATTTCGCTGGCCTATGCAACGACGGCATAAGACGGGAAAAATTTAATGCTCCAAGCAACATGACTATGTAAAACAGTTCACATGTCCCCTTTAGGCTTTCAAGCTGGAGCAGTAAATCAACACATAGCGCTGCCAGGAGGATGAAGGCGAAGTGGTCAGTAACTTGAACATCAATAGGATCCAGTGTTTCCCATTGGCTAGAGTCGGCGGTATAAGAGATTGAATTATTAGCAGCATCATTATTCTGTTGATGAAGCAACTCAGTGCTGAAAGAAGAGCCTTGGGTGGGGCTGATACCCCGTCTCAGTTTCCTTACCTGCTTGATCATTATTGAGGCAACACGTATTTGAGAACAATTTCATAAAAGCATGTTCATTAGTAAAGCATACTGATGACTTAGCTCCTCAGCGAAGTCAATTGTGGGGGTTAATAGCAGCTAAGGGATGTAATTGTCATGGCTCTACGAGAAGGGAGGAAATGACACACCTCGGACACATATGTAATGAACCAGAGAAGAAATGCAGCAGCCAGAAGTAATTCAGCCTCTGGGGATTGGACAAATCCAGGAGTGGCGTTGTAAAAAGCAGCAATAATGAGTAGAGTAATGGGGAGGTCATAGAATGGGAGAACCTCTCGCAGATAATAGAGGGGAGGGACCTTGTTTTGCCCCATTGTACACTGCATCAAACGCCAAATATAGGCTGCTGCAAGCACTCTCACCATCTGAAACCGATCAGAAGTTCCTTGCCGTCTTCCAACCTCCATCGCCATGGCAGCACAGAGCGCTGCCAGCGAAAGAAAGTCGATCAAGTAATATGTAGCAAACAGCATCCCATGATGAGAAGGAGATAATCTCAACAAGCCTTCCCTAACAAATGGATCCATCACTTGGGTAGCCACTGAATGAGATATGGGTATATTTCTAAAGCAGTTCAGTGATTCTACTCTGTTCAAAGTTCAAACCAAAAAAACATCCTCTTCATTAGTCCATAAACAACTAGTCAACAAAGGAAGGCGCGGTTTATAAGTGAAATTTGACCTTAAAAGAAAAAAAAAACTTTTGGATTCAGAAAAATTCTGTGTTTTTTTCAAAATAAAAAATGAAACCGTACAATTACATCAACAAACAGGAGGCCTGTGAGATTTTTCTACTTCAATAATTGAATATAATGAAAGCATATCAAGTATAAAATGCTAAGTAGATAAATCTCATCCATAAATAAATAATTGGTTTAGATATATAAAAACAAGCTTTTATGAATTTTGCTTAAGTAATTTAATGTTCCATTGATGTTAAAGTCAAAGATTAAAAGCTTCCTCCCCCGAATATACCGTAAGCCATGCAAATGTGGGCCAGATAATATGTGGAGTGAGGACTTTTGGCTTTGGGTGACTTCTCTCCCAACTCCCTCCCTCTTGTTTGGCTTTTCCCGCTTCCTTGAACTGTATGGATAATACTAGCTCCTGTTTTAAGAGTTAAATAACTAATTTAAAAAAAATAGTTTAATTAATTAATTATAATAAATATGTGTTGACTTTTTTGAACTACTTTCTTTAATTATGTATATTGAAATTATCCCATAATAAAATCTCTTACAATCAATAGAGAATAATTTAGAGAAAGCATTATAAATTTAATAGACAAGTGAATTGAAATCTTATGCTTAATACCAAATTAAATTTTTAAGTAGCTCTTATCATTAAAGACTAGAGTAGTATCATGATTTCCATGAGCGGGGGATGCTTATAAATCAACCTCCCATGAAGTACCTGGATTAACTGATAAATGCGTAAAGTTATTACTCATTCTGTTCTTGTTACAAGTTTCAAATAACTAATTTACGGATAGTAAATTATTAATTAAAATTAGTTAAAAATAATAAATAGGTTAGAAATAGATTTTTATTTTAAAAATAATAAATAGGTTAGAAAGAGACTTTTATTTCTAAGCATACCCTTATAATAAATGAAAAAATGATGATAGAGAATATACAGAGAAATGTGATAAGAGGGAAATAATTAAGGACAATATTGAAAAAATATAGTAAATGTTAAAAAAATTTAAATTAAAGATTATAAAAAGAATCACACCCTTTTTCAAATTCAAAGCTTATAAATAAGATCAGATGAAGTATAAAATACAAAATAATTAGTTTTTTGAAGAAAATAAAATGATGAAGTAAATTTCTTGCATCTATGTATAATCCGTAATATAATTGATTTTTATTTTATTTAAATTCATGTGTCAAAATTAATCCAAATCTATAGTAAATGAAAGCCGCATTATTAGTTACTAACATTTCTCAAAAAAATTATTAAATACTAACATTATTTCTCTTACAAATTCAAACATTATGAGTATAGCGGGCTCATAATTACAATTAGAAACTATCAAAATTTAATAGAGAAGTTATAATGACTCCAATGAAAATAAGATAAAATTATAGGATCTTGTATGTTAATTTTGCTTTATTTTAAATAGATAGATCTCCCATAATATTGAACTTTAAGAGAGGATTAAACCCTTCCCCACTAAGTTTGCCGACCTACAAGTGTTTGGAATGGACAGATTTTTTATTTTACTTTAATTTAGTAAATTTAACATTTACTTACTTTTCATAAAGACAGGTCTGAAGATTCATCACTTGGTACCATTATGATGTCTTACTTACAAAAAGAAGGGGACAAACCACCAAAAAAAAAGAAGCTGTATAGTACTAATATACGCTTCCAGTTTTTAATATAAGATCCAATTATTAAGGTAGTTTTGATCCTAAATATAATACCCATTTTTCATATTTATCAATTTTCTTTAAATTATCCCTATAAATACTCTTTCAACCATAATCAATTAAAAGAAGAGAGGGTATTAAGAAAAATGATTATAGTATTTAAAAAAAAACGTGTCATATTTTTTATAATTAACTAACTTACCTAACTTCCTTAATTTAATCAAATTAGTTAAATATGTCTTATATTAAAGACCGAAGGAGTATGTTATTTACTTGGAGTGGGGACCACACACAGGTTAAATGAAATTTTACCAATTAAATTTTAAAGTTTATAACAAGAAGGGCAACAAGGTCATACAACTTGATGTTTCCACTAACATTGTCAAAATGAATATACAATTTTCCTTATCCTTAAAAAAAAAAAACGACGTAACAAGACAAGAAATTAAAAAAAATAATAACAAAGTAAAACTGAAACCTTCACACGGAGCTAGCTTCTCCCTTTATGCATCCTCGAAAAAAAAAAATGAATCTATATAAGAATTGGTTCTGACTTTTCTGTGTTCAACCCTTGACCTCTTGTATCTGCAGATCTCCTCAATGCAGATAAACACCAAAGTTGATATCTGATGGAGTTAGAGAGGGCGACACTTCCATACCAAAAGTGAGATTCCACATTTCAATGTATCCTTATTTTTAGTTCAACTAAGTTCTTTAGAAGCACATCATTCTGAAGGCGACACTGTCTATGTAGCTCTCTTCCGTGTTTTGACTTTTCAAGCCTGTCAGATTTAAAATATTATGAGACTCAACCCGTTCGATAGTGTTTTATTGTTTCTGGCAACAGTTTTCCAACACAAGTTTAAATCAAGTTTTAAAAATAAAAAAATATATAAAAAAAAGGACAAAACTTAAGCATAGGTTTTTACAGGATTTGTCAACTGTTTTTAGCATAAAAATACTTCTATGAAAGTTCCTTAACTGGTTTTCCCAATTGTCAAACAGGATTCACCCCTTTACCGGCATAGCATAGCATACCAGGCAAAAGATTCTTCATATGACACAAATGCTATTAATAAAAGCTTACCATCTAATGAGGGATCTGGAGAAGAACAAGTGAGAGGAAATACAAAGAAAAGGAAATGGCCAAGCCAGCGAGAAAATTGTGCAGCAACCGCTTGTTATCTTTCGTGGGTATAAATACACTCTTAAGTGTATTTGTTAACTCAAAAAGCCGATGAGATACCTGAAAAACCATGTGAAACAAAAAGTGCAACCTAGTCAACGGTTCAATAGAGACTGAAAGAAATATTTTTAAAAAAAATTATTAAATTATTGAATAAACCAAAGAGAATAGCTCCTTACCAAGACGTATATAGCAGTTGTGAGCATAAAGTTGAGCAAAGGATATTCTGGGATAAGAGAAAGAAGCCACTTCGGCTGTCCATTTGGCATGTTAGATCTGTAAATGAATAGAAAAACTATTGAGTTCACATAGTCCTAAACTTGGGGAAAACGCCCAGGTTTTCCTTCATTCTTATTTTCCCTGATGTTGGTGAAATTTTAAAAAAAAAAAAAGTAAAAAGGAATAGTGTCATCATTGAAATGTCCCGTAAGTGCCAATCTGACACTTTCCTTGTCTCTGAACAACAGAAAGCAACCTCTAAGCAGGAAGATCTGAGTATGTTTGTCCTAAAATATTAAAGTAATGACAAGCACATATCACAAAACATCTTTCTTCAGATTTTCCTATCTTTGCATATTAGCATCACATGGAACTTAGCTCTATTTGTGAGTTGACCATCCCAATGATGAGAATAAAACGGCAACAACCCACACGCTTGATGGATAAGAGAAGGCGTAGGCCATAACGCATAGTGAAATAAAGAATGAGTTCATTGATATGCTGACTCACCTCAACCAAATGTGGAACTGTGAAATATAGGTCTCCAAAGTAATCTTGCCGAGCCACCTGATGATACAAGGTAAAGAAAATTAAGAACCAGAAAATTAGAGTTTATGCATCTAACCAAACAACCATCAAAGAGAACTTCACTAATAAAGGCAAAGAACACATACGCAAAGAGAGTCAATGAATAACTCCGTATCTGCTGAGTGAAATTCCGCAGGCAAATGTAAACTCTGGAAAATCAATAATGTCAAAAGTTAAAGTTCACCGAAGATAATCAAAATACTTCACATGCAACTCAAATCTTTAAGATGTGCTTCCTACAATGAAGAAAGAAAGAAAAAACAAGAAAAAAGGAAGAACAAGAATGATAGAAAAGAGGAGAAAATATAATACTAACGTAATTGGAATCCATGAGGTGTAGGGGTGAAGCTTGTTGTAAGAGACCTTGTCAAGCTTGTATATATATTCGTACCACAGATATCCAACCTAGAAAGGAATCATAAAGATGATATTTTCTTACTTGTCATAAAAATCAAGAGAGGAAAACCATGAGCAAATAATCACACTACAGGTCTTGTGACTCACAAATGTAGCAACTGAAACGATGCTTATTTTGATTGTGTATCTCCTCTTGGCTTCACACTCCTCCAATTTTTCCATCCATTTTTCAACCTGATATGGTAAAATATTAGCATTAAAATAGTTGTGTACAGAATGAAATAACACCCAGCACAACAATTAATAGCATTACATTTGGATGAAAGTAGGCATATATCATTCCAATTATCCAGATATAGCGATCAAGTCCAGATCTAAAATGCCACTCATGCATTCTAGGGACATCCGGCTTTGCAGGATCAGTATAACCTGCCATAAGGAAAAGACCTTTATGCACTTGAAGTAAATCCATAGAGTTCACTTGCATCAGAAGCAGCAGCAAACATAATCAATACCAAACTAATATTAGAAAACTTCAAGATAAGAAGACTACTAACCTAAAAAGAACGCAAATGGACTCCAAGCTATGTCAAAGACCCCAGGGATTTCCCAAATCAGTATCACCACAAGAAAGCATGCCAAAATCTTCACAGCTATCACCGAACTTATCTCATTATACTTATTATATATACCCAATGCTCCATACACCATCAAAGTAAATAGTGTGTGCATGGGACAAATATAATAGAGCATATAGTCATTGTTAAGCACAATACAACAGAAGGCCACAAAGAAATTGAGACGCCACATCATCTGCATCAAAGATCAATGAGTCAGATACATTTGTCAGGATTAAGAGGGTGGTGCAAATTTGGAATTCTATATCACCTGAGCAAAGCGTGCAAGGCTAAAATCTTTTCGAATGTAATAATAGGAGAAGTTGCCAAATCCAGTCATCCAAACATATGCAGCAATGAAAACACGTATTGCATTGTATATCTCCGCTGCCGCAAAATAGTGGTACATCAGAAAGAGGACCTGAAGAACAGAACATAAATATCATTGCAATCATGAACATAGTAGAATGTGCCTCATTGATAATAATGTAGAGCAGAAAATGATTTTTGGGTATATGAAATATGACGTTCTAGAAGTAACATGCACCGTGCTTAGCTTGTCTACAGCCCACTTATATTTCATTTCAACAACTGAAAATCTTAATTTCTGCCCCATAACATCCACCAGTTCACAGTTTCACCTTAACATCTTAGACAATATAATACTCCATGAGCTAGATAAATGCCAACAAATTATAGAATATAAATGAAATTTAAAGAAATATCCACATAAGGATAGCAACTAGCAACAACTATTAATAAATAGAAACAAAAAAATACATGATAGTATATAAAATTAGCTCCAGTCAAAGCAATTATGTAGCATCTTCTTTCACGGAATTACAAGTTTTGAAATCATCCTAAAAGGAGAACCCACCTGCATCCATCCTTTCCACTCCTCTGTCTGATGCCGATTGAGGTAAAGTATGCTTCTTCCAGAAAATGCTGATGTGTCATTATGTTTCTTCAAAGAAGTCATGGCTGAGACTATAATCAACAGAATGTAGAGAAAGAGGAAAAGATCGCGATTGTAGCTCTGTCAATAAAAAAGTTATTTAAGAAAGTTACCCAAAAGTTTATTATAAATTCCATGAATTTAGTTCATAACAAGATTTAAAGATATAGCATATAACCATTCATCCACTAAAACACTTCCAGTGCATGCATGAGGTCTCAAGTCAAGCATCCCTCACCAAGTCAAATAAAAACATGTTTTGGAACTAAATATTGTGCAGGGTATGAAGTGATGAATTGTGAACTAAACTAAGTGTAAGATTGAAAAATGAAAATTGAAAATTATAATCAGAGTACAGCGATTTAGAACATAGCATCTTTTAGGGTACTATGAATCAAAGGAATTGGTTTGCTAGCCAATAATAGTAGTTGCAATTTAATGGAAGATTGCAAACATATGCATTTGAATTCTTGTACCTTTGTGGAATCTCCAAGCACATTAGTGCGGTCACATGTGTAGAAATAAAATAGAATGAACCCAAATTCCGACCTGGAAAAAAATGTAAACGCATTATCAAAAAGTTTAAAACAATCTTTGAGTTACCTACAGAAAAAGCACTTACATTGCCCTCAATGTCATTCGATTTTCTAACAGGAAGGAATCATCCATGGTCAGAAACCTAGACAGATCATGTAAAAGGTAAGACCCTAGAACAGAAGAATAAAGCTCAAAAGAATCCATGGCATTTTATATAATAGAAAATGACCTAATCAGATTCAGTTTGATGGATGAAACATGGAGTTTTGCTGATGCTGATCTTGTAAGCCCTGCTTCCAGCAAAACAGCCCGATCATCTTCCTTAGTTGCCTCCTTCCCCAATTCATCAAGATTAGTATCCGAATGACTGAAGTCCAAGAAGATGGTTTATTAAGGATAAAAAATCATTCGCAGATAACTCATTCTAATGGCATCCATCTATAAAAACCTCAGAGAGCAAGAGACAATATTAAAACGGGCGATGAAAAACAAAAAAGTGCGTCAAAGGCCAAAGAAATGATTGAGAACTTTATAGCAATTTCATTTCATGAAATAAAGGACAAATATTCCATCAGCACTAGTAGATTTTTAAGTTCAATTATGCATCGTATCTTTTGCCAGAATTTCATTATAGCTTTTTAGTAGTTTTGATTTTGATTTGATCACTGCAATAAACATTCTGTTCAGCTCCATGGTTGCCACCAGGGTATTTCAAAAGTCCAAAGAGTTCATGGCTATAGTGATAACACCTAATTGTTCATGAAACCTCAGATCTTGCCATCTCTATTTTTTATGAATATTGACGCACAAAGAAAGAAGCGCAACTAAGCCCAAAGAAATAATCGAGAACTTTAGATCCATTTGCTTAAATAAATAAATAGCACCTTATATGAAACAAAAGGCAAACATTTCATCTGCATAGATATTTAAGCTCAATATGCATTGTATCAGATAACAAAATTTTATCATAGCTTTCTAGTAGTTTTGGTTTGATTACTGCAACAGACACCAACTGAGTCTGCTAAGCCCCACAACTGCCATCACGCTGTTTCAAAGGTTGAAAGAGTTCAAGGCTACAGAGGCAGCATATATTTGCTCATAAGATCTCAAATATAGCTATGTTTTTTTCTGAATACATTGATGCACAGTCTCTGATTTCGTTTTACATTAAAGGCCCAATACAATGCCACGTCGCCAAAGAAATAGGCATTATTATACTTCCTTAAGCCCATACTTTGTGACCTGTCTATATGCCCTACAAGCACTAAATGTTAAACACGTGTAATCACACACTATATATAAAAAATGATACGATGATCCCCATCAAAATCTCCCTTCTCTGCAATACTGAACTTCTAAATTGAGAGAACCATATGGCTCATTTCATTATATACAGCCAAATAGAAAAGAGGGAGCATATCCTTGAACTACATCAATCATAAACTTTATAATTTGAGAAAAACCAATCCATTAAAGCCAATTTCCCTAAAAAATAATAAGGAAAGAAGCTTACACTTTTGGAGGAGACGAGCTTCTCTTATACTCTAAGTACTCTGCATATATCCATGTGACAAAAACTGGAATGACACCCAGTAGAAAAGAAACCTGGAGTACAAAAAGCAAAGTTCCATCAGAAAATTTACAAGACTTTATGCAAAACTTGAACAAAAGCAAGAACACATCAGATCTGACACTAGATTGAGTTCACTTTGCTCCGATGACATTAAAATATAGTCTTTAAAAAATTTGTGAGCAGGAGAACAAGATCATGGCAGTGTAATCAGACAGAATCTAATCATCCAACGAGCATTCTTTAGTGACCACTATTAAGCGAGATGAAAAACTTTAAATTGTACTTTTTTTGCATGTTATACTTCGAGCAAACAGCATTGAAGTGTTTGCTTCAAGAATATTGTAACAGGTGTCATGTCAATCGATGAAGTCCGAATTGCATTCACATGCATACCCTTATCAAGTAATCATCTTTTCCTCCGAGATTATAAAAAAACAAACCCCCATCACAGCGTCTAGGCGCCACAGACGAACATTTTGAGGATTCATGACAGGTTTAGCAGCTCAGCTTAAAAATTTCGTTTTTATCACATGATGAAGGAATTGTATAACTTTTCATGCAAATGCTCATCGTATTAGCGGCATGCCTATGATCCATTATTAAAAAAAAAAAAAAAAAAACCGTTTTAATGAGCATTAAACGTGACCGACACGCATGCAACCAGATCACCAAGTAGCCAGCATGATACGGCAAGAACCATCACGCATCAACCGAACTCCCCAGCCTCCACTACGGATAACCCAAATCTCAAGAAACAAATTTGATTTGCGTCATTGAACCAAACATTACACACCTGCCCAGGCGTGATTGGCCCCGACACCACCATTTCCGATCCCAGATGCCGGCTCGAAACTGCAAGAAACCGAACGAACCATAGTGAGAAACCAACATAATCGCAACCCAAAATCTGGAAATCTGAGACAAAAAGAGGAACCACCTGTGGAAAGGAAGCGACCGATTTGAGGGGGCGTGTCAGAGAATGATCATATATCCGTGGTGAGATTAAAAACCCTAATGAGAAGGAGGGAGGGATATAGATCGAGGAAAGAGAATAGGAGATCTGAAGGGCACCAAAGGAAGAGTTTGCTTCAAGAAGAGAGAAAATGTCGGAGGGGAAGTCTCTGTCACAGTGGCTTCTTGCTGATGATAGTGATGATATTTTTCTGATGTGGTTGGTGGGGTTGAAATTCGAAGCCTTTGAATCAAAGGCTTTTTTGATTTCTCTGTGCCTCTCTGGTTCTGGTGTGTTATGGTTAGTTGCTGGTGGTGGTACTTTGTTTCCTTGCTTCCTGCAAAACGGTAAGTTTAGAGAGAGAAAGAAGATAGAGAGAGAAAGGACTCAACTACTCTCCTGCGGGCTGTGTTAATTTGTGAACGCGGGTGTTATTTAATACAGCGAATTAGCAGTGTAATTAATGGCACCGCACCCCTTATTTTCAAAGAATGATTACAGCTAAGACCCAGAATCACCACATAGGGCCAAGATTTTAAAAATGTCATTTCATTTATTAGATTCTGATCTACAGTTATTTTTAATAACTTATAATTTTTTATATGTTAAAATTATTAGTATTAAATTTTATGAGAATTTAGTTAAATTTTAGAAAAATTAGGTTTAGATATTAAAAAAGATTAAACTTAAAATTAATTTTATCTGTTAAAAATCATTGCTCCCAAGTCTTAAATGGAAGACTTTTATTTTCCAACCTAAATAGAAAACTTTAGCTGATGACAATATATATATATATAAAAGACTTGGTTTGGTGTTTGCTCTTCATTAAATGTAATACCTAATTCACTTTTTCTTCCAATTATATATACTCTTTTGACTTAGATAACTTATTTGCGTATATTAAAAATTTAGTTAAATTAATTTTTCTAAAAAAAATATGTATACGTTAATTTTTTTAAAATATTATTTTTTGTCAAGCCTAAAATATCTTTTTTAATTATTTGCAATAAAACTTGATAAAAATATTTTAATATACGTAAGCAATATGAATAAATTGAGAACAAATAATAATTTAGGAGACAAAATAGACTAAAATTTTATATTCAAGATTAAAGTAAAATTTTTGAAAAGCTTTTATATTTAACATCCGAGGAAGTAATTTTTTCTTAGGCTATCCTTGATCGCATGCGTCAAATAAGTTTTCTGTAAAAAGGGTAATGATTAAAAAATATTTTAAAGCATGAATACATATTTATTATAAATAAATAATTTAACTAATTTTTTTATATTGATAAATTAATTATATAGTGGTTATATTTAGAATAAAATGATGTCCTAACTTTGAAATTCGTTTAATGTAAAATATTCACACAGGTGTGATGGCAGAAAATATTCACACGGGGAGTGTGCGTGTGAAGATTTATATTTTCGACTGTTCTCCAGCCAATGCGGAAGCTCACGGACTTTCTCGGGGGCTACCGAGTCTAGCGAGTGAAGGCGGTGACTCCATGAACTTGGAAATATGTGTACAAGCCTACAAGGCATTTAAGGAGATTTTGGAGGTATTTGGAAATAAGGAGGAGTGCATTTTAAAAACATTTTTTTACAAATCAAGATAAATTACTTCACATATTTATTTTGTATATGATAAAATTATTTCTAAAATTATAGTTTGGTCTTTATTCAAATACTCCTTAGAGGAAGTTTATTAAATTGATTATTTACAATAAGTTTTTATAATTTCCCTTCAATTTGGTTAGTTCTAACCATTTTTACTAGACATTACTCCCTCCGTTCCTTATTATAAGAGACATTTGATGCTTATAGTATGTTCCTAAATATAAGAGACATTTAAAAGTTGTCTCTACTTTTTTGTATTGATTTCCTATTTTACCCATATTTATTGTCTCCAACTGACGCTCTCTCTCCTTCCCACTTCTCTTTCTTTTAACAATTTACTATTGTTTTCTCTCATGCTCTCTCTCCTTATTAATGAGGACATTTTTGGAAAAAAATTATACTTTTTACACATTAATTGTTCTTAACTAATTTTAACTGTTTTTTTTATCAACGTAATTCGGTTATTTGTCTCTTATAATAAGGAACGGAGGGAGTACTCTTTTACTATTTTATTACTCCTTCATTGCATCTTTAATCTTATAACTTACCTTTCACTCACATTCATATGATTTATTATCATTTATTTATCATTAAGTATAAGTGTAGCTTATATATAAAACTATACTTTTTAAATAGGACATATCATTATATTGTGATGCAAATGAAGCATGTGAAAAAATACAATATACTTCTCTTATCTTCTTGCTTTTATTTCTTCTCTACTCTACTTTCTTTGTTAACTCATTTCATGATAATAGGGATATTTTTAAAAAAAATTATAAATTTAAAAAATAAAGTGAATTAAGATCTTATATTTAAGATCAAATCCTACTCTCAACTGGCTGTTATATTTAAGACTATAATTAATATATGTACAATGCATTTAATAAAAAAAAATAAAGATAATTAATATATTTTTACCTAAAATTTTAATACAAATGTACGGAACTACTTGCCTCTTATTCTTATTATGCTTGTGGTGCTTTTTATCCAACAACCCACTCATATCTCCAAACATTGTTGACTTTTGGAAAAGTGTATCATTTAATAATAATAAATATCATATACTTATGTCAACTATGATTAACTAACATCTTATTAGAACCAATTGGTGTCTTATAAATCTAAAAGCAAAAAAAAAAAAACATATTGAAAGGGTTTCCCACCGCTAGACAAATATATATATAGAGAGAGAGAGCACAAATATATATCTACCTACTGGATTTATTTCATAAAAAATGGATAAATTTAAATAAAATGAAAACATGAAAAATACATCCATATAAAAAGTTTCGTTCGTAACCAACTTTCTTTTTTTTTTTTTTTTTTTGCCAACTTGTTTGTTTACTTTTATGAAATAAATTTGTTTATTTGTTGTCGTTACTCTGTTAAGCAAAGTACATAACAAGGAACCTATCCATCATCCAATCATTGTTCTTTCAACTTTTGTTCATAATCTCCCTCTTTTTTACTTCCTTCTTTACTTAAAAAATGAGCAATTAATTTATTTATTTATTTTTTGCCAGAAGCCCACGACTGGTTCAAATGGTCTTATGGCAATTTGTCTAGAAAGGTCAAAAATGATTTAATCATACTAAATTGAATCGACTCAATAGTCAGTCAATCGGTGAAAGTCGCTTCTAAAACCCAAAAATGAAAAAAAAAATCAAGTTTGAGTTTTATTTTATACAAATAAATTTTTTTTTAACAAAAACCTTAATTCAAGTCAATTGAAACTGGCGTTTATAATTTGTTTGGAGTCATTATTCCTCGTAAGCAGAGTACATATTAAGGAACTTTCCGTGATCAAATAATTGTTTTTTCCAAAAACTTTTTCGGTCATAATTTGTTCCTTTCTCAGCCCATAGAGGGTCAAATGGTTGATCTCAATGTTCTAAAATCTTATCTAATTTATTCCGAATAATTTTCAAAAAAGGAAAAGTCAATTGCATATCGTGTACTTACCTTTTTGTTCTTGAAATAATCATATTACTAAGATTTAAAAAAGTCAAATTTATCAATGTTTTTTATGATTTTTTTTGCTACGTACATGTGTATATATTATTCTATTAGATACAATCCTATTCGAAGTACTATCAGGTACTAAATGTGAACACTTCTTCTAATAAGAATTTGATTTTTAATTCACCACATCGTAAGAGATTAGCTCTTTTCATTGAATTTGACTCACATTGCTACTCCTTTTGTTTTGTTAAAAGTTAAAACCAGAATTATCACTGTGATGTTTCTTTTTTTTTTTTTTTTGAGCTAACACTGTGATGTTTCATATTACATCGTACTCTCTCTATAGAAGTGTGTTATATAGGAAAAAACTTTATTGAATTTATTTATATCCATTATATTAGTGTTAAGTTCTTCAATCGTATGTCACTATGTGGTTATGTTTGTTTCATATAAATTTATAATTAAATATTATTAAATACTAATATTTTAAAATAGGACACATGATCATGTGTGATTAGAAAACTTAATATAATAAATATAAAGAATTTAATGTAAGTATTGTCCACATATATATATTGCCAAAAACATAATCATATCATAATCATAATATATATAAAATTTGGGTTGGTTATGTTTTTGGCAGCATGCATCATGGTTTTATTGTTTGCACTCAATTATGTGTTGCTCTCCACTCTCCAGGTAAAAACAAAAAGGGAAAATTTCACTGTCAATAATGTTTTTAGTCCATTCGTTACTTTATACTATTTTCAGTCCTTAATATAAAATCTTATTTGACTTTTATTTTGGTCCTAAATATAAGAACCCAATCCATTTTGTCTCTCATATTTATGCATTTTTTCCCAAAACAGTCCTCTTAATAATGGTAGTTATAGCCAATATACTTGATTAGTAAAAATATTTTAGAAAAGACACCACCTATTTATTACAAATAATTAACTTAATTTTTTCTTTAATCTTCTCAAATTAGTCAACTAGCTCTTATAATTAGGATTAGAGGTAGTTTAAAGTAGCTTCAATCCTCCCCCCCCAAAAAAAAGCTAGCTTCAATCTTATGCATTATGCATAAATTCAATTATTTATCTACAAAATCATAATAAATTTAAAACGTAAATAAATTGCCCAAAAACAAAAGAAAATCAAATCAAATATCAAGAAAATAAGTAATAAAATTACTGTAGAAAAAATACTACTCTGGGTCTTTATATAAAAACTAAATAATTAATTTGTGGATATTAAGAACATATGCTAAATTAGTTATTTAAGTTATAATAAATGAATATTATCTTTTTTAAAATACTTTTGTTAATCACGTGTATTAGAATAATGTTTTAATGTAAACTTCTTAACATGTGTAATCATTATAAGAATTATTTAAGAGGAAAAATAAATAAATATTATGGACAAAATGAATTGAAATTTTACATATTTAGAATTAAATTGAATTGTCAAGTAACTTTTATACGGAACAATACTTACATATTTGATCTTTATAGTTTATATAATATGAGAAGTCTTTAAATTAGATGAGGCAATTATCAAGTTGGAACCAATATTTAAGATTGTTATGATATTTAATTAAAGTTTATAGTACACACCAGAAAGAAAAAAGTAGAGTACAAAAAAAAAAAAAAGGAAAAGACTGAGGAGCAACCAGCTGAGAGAAAGGCGGAGGAAAATGACACACATTTTGATGATAAAAATAAAGCAAATGAAACTGGCAAAAGTAGGAATAATAAGAATAAG